CTGATTTAGCATGCAGATGGAACTAGAACTTAATCAAGAATGCATAAATAACCTTCCTAGTGCTTGAATGGTCACAGAAAGTGAAAAACTTGACAGCTTTGTCCTGAATATGAAAGTTACAAATAGAAGTTCAGAATGATTATAGGTAGTAACAAAGGTCATCTGGTATACAGTCCCCCGATATCAAAATCTGTCTGTTTGATTCGGTTTTAAAACAGGTGAAAGCTCTGACCTTGTAGGTCCAACTGTGTTGAGTTTGAAGATCTGCATGGCTTTATCGATGAAGTCCTCAACAAGGGGTTCATCCACCTTGACCGATCGCAGGAGCAGCCGTTGATTCTGCATCTGAGGGAAGATAGCGCACTCCACCTGCCGCCGTAAAAGATACAGCAATGAGATCATCAATCAAAGCAAATACCAGACTAGTGGACCGTAGAAGGGTCCATTTCTTTCAGCTGCTCTTTCAGGTCAAAAATTTGCTGTTCAGCATAACTACTGTACCTGATTACTGTCATAAGGAAATATAATACTTGAAATAGGTTTCGCTATAGAGAAGGCGTTCTAATCTTCTTACAAGGATATGAACATGCACTGCGTTGACACACTGAGAACTGCAATCATGTACTTATATACAGTTATTCATAATTTTAAGAGTTATCAAGTTACTGTATATTTCAGTTAACAGCGTTGGTAAAATTAGTATTTTGATTCTACTGGTAATTCCAAATCACTGTGAAATAATCAGCCACAAACTGCAACAAATTCTCTCTTCCAACTTGCAATGCATGTTTCTTCTCACCCGCTGAAGCTGGTCTGCGCTGCTGATGATCTCGGAGAAGCACCTCAGGATGATATCCCTGCACTCTCTGAAGGGAGGGTCAAAGGTGATGCGGGGCTCTTCCACCTTCAGCTTGACAATCATGATTTGAGCCATCACGTACTGCAGCTCCTGGTACTCATCACCAAATTCATTGCCGTTCTGGGGGGAGAAAGTCAGCACAAATTATGGTTCTCAGTTTGGTTTTGTCGGTTAAATATTTTCAAAGGACAGCACTCACATCACTGTAGAAGATGCGGTTTGACAAACTCAAAAGAGGCATGTGAAGGCTCCTTGAATAGGTTTGCATTACTCCACCCAAATACATGGCAAGCCTTCTCATGAACGGCTAGAAGCTCATGCAACTAAATGCTCATCAAATGTGTACAAAATCTTAACGTAGAGTTTTCTGTCATTCTTAACAGCATGTTAACAGAAGTGCACGCTAATGAACAAAGCATTACTGTGCAATTTGCAGGGTATTATATTTAATAAGCTATAAATTTCTGAACAGACAGGCAATGGAGTCCTGGTCTGAAGACCTAAAGAAAGGAAACTGGCGAGTTTTTACCTCGTGAATTTGGAAGAACTCGAGGAAGTCAGCCAGAGAGTTAATGACCATGCTCCTGAGCTGGATTGACATGAGCGCGGCCACGCAGGCAAAGAACTCTTGTACCCTCTGAGTGGAGTCAATGTCATTCTGGGGCACCAGGTGACCCCACAGCTCCTTCCTGTCCATGAAGATCTCTGCGCAGGTCGGAATCCAGCTGCACAACAAAAAAGGGAAATAGAATCCATGAAGAAAACAGCCACGGCACGCATCGCCTGTTGTGACAACAATGTTTCCTTTTACGGACTTGCAGCAGAGAAAGCAGATAATGCTGGGTTAACACTAAAAAGAGCTGTATTATGCGGGACAGAGAGTATGTATGATTAATTTTCATCTGAAAGCGCACAAATCCATGTTTGTGCATAAAGGAGGGGTGAAATTCAATTCAAGTGTCTGCTGTCGAGCTGTCTGGAGTCACCTTACTCTCTGTATCCTGTTGGGAATATTTTCACAAGGAGCCCGCTCACAATTTGCGTTCCGCTGTCCAGCACGTGGTCAGTTGTCTATAAGGAATTACCTTTTTCATCCTCTTAAGTGCCATCCAATAAGCCACTTGCCAGTTAAATTTGAATAAAATCTGGTACACTGTGTTATCTGGTGTTATCTGATTGCACAGAAACGTAACAACAATTTGAATTCCCCAGACTAAAGACACTGTTGCTATACCTTGTGATTCGAGGCAAGCTTTTGCATAGCGACCACCACCTCTGGAATGGACTGCTTCCCTTATGCCGTTCTTATCCATTGAGAACAGTGTATTGTTGCAAGGCGTCTCTTATGTAACTAAGCAAAAGCTTGCCCCGAATCACAAGGTATAGCAACAGTGGTTTTAGTATGGAGAATTCAAGTTGTTATGTTCCTGTGAATTTAAAGAACTCAATGTACCAGATTTTATTCAAATTTAACTCGAAAATGGCTTATTGACAGCACTCTTGCCCGTTTTGGCAGGCACAGTAACTTGCATTCCTACAGGCGGCCTTAACACCCCTTTTGTGTTGAGCAGCACATAGGGACTTTTAAACACTGCGCCGCAGCCTACTGATATGACTGTCCCACTTACGACATCTGCAGCACTTGTCTAGCCTCCGCACACTGCTTCTTGACAAGATTTTCAAACTCCTCCGGAAGAAGGGGCAGCTCAGCTGATAGCAGGTCCTCAAGACGAACAAACCGCAATGTGCAAAACCTAATGGTAAAAATAAGGGAAGTTGCAGTCATTTGAATGAGCATAAATTCTCATTCATTGACTCATTATATGCACAGTACCAGGTGCTACAAGAACACTTGAAGACGGAAACTGAACAGCTGCAATTTTCTCTTTTCAAACATGCATAGTTTACAGAAGCCATGAAATAATACTAGAGATTTAAGATGGCCATTGAAACATTCTAAATGAAAATAGCCGGAGCGCAGCACCTAGAGGCTTTGCATTTTGTGGTCTAACACTGGATTCAAAGATTAACGAGCCTGTCCAGCCAGTTTCATGAAATGGCTGGGCGTGCTTCCAATGCACAATGCACATGACTCACCTATCATACCACAGGTTCTGCAGCTCCAGCATGATGTTGTTGGTGATGAACAAGTGGCTCGTATTGCAGTCCTTGTTGGTGAGGTAGGAATTGTGCCAGGGCACAGGGGCACGGATGATCCGCCGCGGGAAGGGGCGGGGGATCCAGGCAATGTGAAGGCGGGATTTCTCATCAGGGTCTTTCAGGATGTAGTCGACTGTGGCAAAGCAAAAGGAGTCCGAACAAAATGAGCAAGATGTTTTATAACCCTTCGGTGGTGAATAAGAAAATGAAAATCCAAACTTGAAATACTTCTTTTTAAACACACTTAAAACGAGAACTGGACAATTTCTTTCATTCAGAAAATTCTTAACCTATAGCTCCTTTCTAGCATTTGAGCTTAACAAGTACCTTTTATCTTAAGAAATTCTAGGACAGTAACACTACCATAAATACAACCAAATCAAACCAAAATTTAACAACAGAATAGAAGGTTTTAGTCTGGCTTTGTAAAAGAAAATCCGAATTGTTCTGCGGCTGTGATACGCATGGGAGTGCAGATTTCTCAGTCACACTGATTACTGATCACCTGTTCATTTACTGATCACCTGTCTGGTAAAACACAGGTGACACAGGTCTGTCCAGCCTTCCATCCCCTACCTATAGCCTTTCTGCTGCTGAACTCATAGTCACTGTAGATTTCCTCCTCCAGGCTGCTTCTCAGCTTCTGGAGCCCCACCTCCTCCAGCAGTGCCCTGGGTATGTAGCACCTGACGTTATCCATCATGTTGTCTGGTGGCAGGGCTAGCATCTCTGGAGTCAGGCCTTTGGTGATGTAGTAATGGTATCTCTGTGGATGCCAATGATGTCAAAATGACTTTTAGCAGTCTGGGTTTTAAAAACAGTTTAAAACTCACCAAACAGAACAAGAGGTACTGGGAAAACTACAGCTGAAGTTAATCAAATGATGCAGATCGTAGATTGAGCCAATGAAGGTATTACATACTTCGGACCTCTACAGGTGGCGGGTACAAAAGTAAGATGTTGCAGTGAAGGTTTACACTTAGAAATTCCATGACTTCTCCAGAACTAAAATGACAATTACCGTGACATTTAATGCCATTTTGCAGAAAAAAGTTATTTCTGTATTGTGAACTTGAAGACAGCTTTAGCCATTTCTATAAACTGACAAGGATATGGCCTGTAGAGTATCATTGTTCCGTTATCACATTAATAGCAAGCCATCATTTCAGGATTTTCCATGACAGTGGGAGCCCTGTTGCTGGTGCCCAACAAGCACGTACAGACGCGACATGCAGGATGCCTGCACAGGATGACTGTAAAACGCTGTCAAAACTGTGTGGCAAATTTTTGCAAGTCTCAAAAAAGACCATTATTGGCTTTCATGTCAATTGAAATCAGTGTGAACCCAATCTGAGCTTTGCAGAGTCAATCTTCCTTACATCTTAAGATTATGACAACCGGTAAACCAGAAGTAGTTACCCCAAATTCATCAAAGAGCTATCTTAAACTGAATGTGTAAAAGCAGAGGAATGTTACATGACAGTAAGCAATCCTGTTAAGTGCTCTGTGACATAGAACATCAGATCTAACATGTGTGGCCCTTCAATATCTGTCTCTTAAACTGCCTCACCTCTAAATCTCTCTCACATGGCTCTCCATGATTTGCATCTTCCTCTTGCTCCAACTTTAACATCGTGTCCAACTGTTCAATAGGGGTCATAGGTCGGCTGGATGGAAGGACGGCATGACTACAAGAAACAAGGAAACATGGGTCAGAGTTACAAAGACCTCCATGAAACCTCGCGGAAAATCCACAGAATTTGGAAGAAAGTCATTTTTTCATTCACTGTTTATCCAGGTACGCATGTCACAGAAAAAATTACCATTTCACCCAATAAAACAGATCAAATAAATGGCTTCTTTTTACCTGGTCAGTATCACACAATAATTATGCCACCACTCTGTAAAGATAAGCACAGAGTAATTATCTATTCTTAAGGGGGTCATGTCTACATTTGACTCACCCATTTAGCTGTGCCTTAGCTCGTCTTCCCACAAATGTCTTTGCTCGGGGGGATATCGGTGGGATGTCTCCAGGTTGAGGGCTGCGAGGTGATCTCTGGGCTGGTGGCATTTTGGAGTTCAGGTCTTCTTGGAACAGGAATTTATTTTACCTCCAAGTAATAATGTTTATTGATGGTGTACTTCTTCCTACTTTTCCAACACTGTTTTGGGCACACTGCTGCCTTAATTCATATCAGTAGATGTCTGTTTAAGGCATGAGTAGCACTGATTTTGCTTTCGCTTTCAAATTTAAAAACATCATTTTTATGTTTAATTTTTTCCCCATAAACCCATGAGTGCCCTCTATACAACCACTCACACCAGAGGGGTTTATGTAAATAATGCTGTAATGAAGCTATTACTTTAAACTTTAGTAAATTACTGAAGGTCTGGAGGAAATACAATTTTCTATAAAGTATTGAAATCATCACAAATAAAACATTTGATCTCTCAATTGCTGGTAGCAATTTATCTTTGGAGTTATACTGCTAGAATCTATTTACAAGTCTTATTCAAATGTGTAAGAGATTGATACATTGGACAAACTACAGCAGTCAGAATGCAAGTGGGGCAATGTTTGATCAGAGATCAAATGGTTACGTAATATGGTCAACAGAGGAGGTGTTACAACCTTTACTTAGGTCAAAAACACTTGTCAACAGGTTTGCTGTGTAAATGAATGTGTCATTGAAATGCATCTTAAACCAGAGATCTCTTGTCAGTTGTCTAGATTGTTTAGTTGTTGGTTGTGGTACTTATCATGGGCCTGGGCCCAGGATTTATATTTGAGATAGTTGCTGTTGAAATAAAGAGTTTTTCAAATTCCATAGTAAATTGGTTAACCACATTCTTTGTTCTTGTAACTTCTTTGTTCTTCTTGTCAGCGGCGTAGCGAAGGCATTTTCTTGGGGGGGGGGTGTGCCAGGGTCAATTTGCCGACTGGTCAATGTACGTCAATAATTCATGACGTCAGTTTCAGTATCCTTTGCCGACTGACCCTTTAATTTGCCGACTGAAAAGAATTATTGGGGGTGTGCAACACCCCCCACTCGCTACACAGCTGCAAGTTCTTGTAGCATATTGTTTATAATCTTAATAGGAAAGCCTTTTATATTGGGTGTTTTGCCCTTCACTAATACACGCTTATAAGAGTTATAAATGCTGCATACTCAGTGATTTCCTTGGCCTTGAAAAAAAAGAGGTTACTCAGGTAGGACTCAAACCTGTGACTCCTAACTTAATACAATCTTGGACATCTTTACCACTCGACCAATGAGTTTGCAAGGATTGGCTGGTTTGAGTAAAATGAGCAGCGGGTCCACAGCAAACAATTTCTTTCAACCTTGTTGAAGGAGTAAAGCACATCCATACATAATCCTAAGTTGACGCATCGCAGCACATGACTTTACCATCAGGTTTTTAAACTGTGTGCAACCGTTTGCCAATTTTTTGGGCCCAAAATACTGATTGAATCTTAATATCTACTTCCATCCACATTTTTAATCCTGGCCTTGTGCCATATTAAACAAAACAACTGCAGAGACTTTAATTTTAGGACAAAAATCATACAAGTTGTGGATGACCACTATTTTTTGTTAGTTTTGAGTTAAGACTTGTAGTATTTTTAATTTCAGGGCAACAATCACACAAGTTGTGGATGATGACTAGTTTTTGTTAGATGTGGATGAAGAATTGTAGACTTTTTCATTCTGACACAATAATAAAACAAAATAATTGCACAAGTTGTGGATGATAACAGCCGGAAAGGATACGGGAGTGGCTTCTCTTCCTGGTCATGCTTGGCTGCGTGACTGACCTCGCCAGATTGCTGCGTGGCAGAGCTTTGATGTTCAGCTTGTTGGCAGAGGGGGTGTAGTTGTTGGCGATGGACTCGCTGGGCGTGCGGCTGTACTTCTGCTCTTTGAATGGTGCGGCCAGTGTCCATGACATGCCTTGCATGATGGGAGGGTGCTCGCTGTGTTTCAGGACAATCTAGGAGGAAGCGACAAGGAAGGGACAAGGAAATGCATTCAACTCAACGATTCAAACCTGCAGGAAGTATCCGATTCTGACCAGGTAACTGTTACAGCAGGGTATATACAAACACAGAGTCTCCTCTGGTAAGACAGCATCAAATTCTGCTTCAAGTTCCCAGCAAAAAAATTCAATGTACCTTCTCTGATCAACTTACACCTGTATGATGGCTGAAAGTGGCATATGTATGTATGTACATACTAGTCATATAACCAATTAAAGCATTTGCTTCGAGGTCAATTTGCTGTGGTTTTGTTTTTTTACCAAAGTGGCACACATTATCGTCAAATAATATCCAAGAGAGAAAAGGTAATCCAACACAAAACCTCAAACTTGATTCAAATACAGGGAACAAATTCAGTAACGTTAGGTTTCGTACGAATATGTAATGTTTACCTGATAGAGCTCAGAGGGATGTTTAGCGGCATCTTTTGGTAGAGGAGGAAGACCGGGCAAGCCACGGGTCTGGCTACAGCTCAGCAATGGTGTACCTGTTACCTGTGGAATCAGCAGAGGATGCCAGGTGCTCATCAGCAATCGAGAAATAAACTGCAAACATGAAGGGGACTTTGGATGACAGTAAATGAATGAGAAAGTGTTACCCTTGCTCGATCCATGTTGTTTTCCTATTCTTCATTCACCAGAACAAAGTTGTAGCTTTTATAAGAAATGTCTGTAAGATATAGAAAGAAAGAGAATACAGTTGATTCAAATGGACGTAAGATGACATTAGGTTAGCATTAAAGTCAAGAATTTGAATTACTTCAGTTCTCTGCCACTAGAAAAATTTGTCGATTGCTCTTTATGATTATTATTTTTATGAAACAAAAATATTGTGTTAATTAAAGGATATATGATAGTGCGAATAAACAGCTTGCTGTCTATAACTAGCTTGAGCTACATTCTTTTAATATCTCATTGCAAAGGTATCAAGAACACCATTCTAATAATACTAAATGTCTGATGATATGGACATCACTTGACACCCTGTGCACAGACCCTATGATATATTATAAGTGTTTTCTAAGTGAATGCTTCGATATTTTCCCTGCTAACTTTGGCTTTTTAGGACATGGTTTCTGATGGCTAATGATAAACCACTGCCAGGGAAAATTAGTGATGCCTGGATATAAAAGTCTTACCAAAAATGATGTTAGGCTTTACTAGAATAGGATATAATTTCAGGTGTGATTGGTGAATGGTGATAGGTTCCCTGGGTCCAGATGTTGGTCACGGTGAATCTGACCTTTCCCAGTGACCATTTCATTTTGTGAGCTTTGTGGTTACCCAAGTAAGTGAACAGTGTTGATTACCAAGTTGGTGTTGAATGCAATTCATCACTGTTAAACTCAAAGGCCATGATCATCAAAACTTTAGGGTTAGGCTACTATGACTCTTAACCGATATTTATGTTTATATTGTGTTTAGTATCAGAAATCTCGGGTGTCAGACCACCGACACTGGTCAGATGATCTAAATTATATAAATGCTAAATGAGAAAGTAAAGGAGAGACATACATTTTTTATTTCTGTCTGTCTTAAACATCAAGTTTGTTTGAAAACAGATTCACAAAAGCAATGGCTCAGACCAAAGGATTAAAATGGAAGAGAAGGCATATATGGAGGATCCATAGAAGACTATGGGGAAACTTTGATGAAAATTAAAAGGAACGATATTATTTCTGTCATTTGTCCAATGTTATTATCAAATGCATTGTAACGTGGTGTCAATCCACACCATCTATGAAAAGGTAGGGAGGCTCATAGATTTTTCAACTATTTTTTCTGTTTTCTTTTTGAAGTGTTCTTGCAAAGGATGTCATATGGAATATTTTGATATAGGCCTTGACCCCTACTACCCCAAGCCTAATTTAGGATTCCATTGGACATTGCAGAGCAAAGAAATATTGATTTGAAGTGGGGATATTGTGAGATGTTTTTAGTACATAATAATGTAGAGCAAACTTTGATTTGGGGGGACACAAAAATGAGAATGGATTACCTGAAAAGCTTAAAATTCATATTTCCATAAAATCTTCGTTCTTATTTGTGCTTCATTTCAATGAATGAAATGCTGGCTTCACTTGAAATTTAAAAAAAATTTGAAATTGGAAATTTAATAGCGGGGAGCTAGGCCTACATTGTGCAGAAAAATACCAGTTTTAACATGTTTAACCACAATTTCTAAATTAACATGTTTTAAGAAAATGAGTTCCAAATGAACAGCACCCTCACTCATTTATGCATGTCCAAAAAGGGTGCCTTATTTAGGCCTATGGCATTAGGCCCGGGGCCTGGGCCTATGCCAGAGTTTTCAAATATAGGCCTAATCAATGATGCATGTCTGGCATGTTTGGGGCGAAGTACGGTAACATTAGCATGATTAGAAATGGAGCGAAGAGGTGGTGAGAATAAGTGGCAATGGGGCCAAGTGGAAACGGGGCGAAGTGACCTATACCCATCGACTTCGTAATTGCACTGTCACAGTGCAGCAAGTAATCTGCACAGGCTAGCCCAACAAAGTACATATAGGCCTACGATCATCATAACCATGATAATAACTTCGGCGTGTTCAGCAGTTCAGGCGTCAGACATTTTGTATAAAAAAATATTCCATACCTTGAATAACGGTACAGCTGGTGCACTCTCTTCTACTCATTCTCTAGATATCTTTCTTCCATAGTTTAAATCTAAAAAGTACTCGAATGTATGAAAATTATCAGGGCCAAAAAAGTTCCAGTGTAAGTTTGGAACTTTCTGCCAGCGGCCGAATACGACTACGAGCTAGCTTATTTAACATCCGGGCCACCGTGTTGCTATGACATACAACGTTGTATAGCAGTAGTCGGGTATCAGTCCAGAAGTCCATTAAACTATGGTTCGTCTCGAGGTACCAAACCTTGCCGAACCCCAGGCGAAAACGAATCGATACCTCACGCTATCGCATAGGCAGCTTGTCGATACTGGCACACGAATGAGAGGGGCGGGCGCCCTCTCTCATGATTTGCTCTCGGTTCCTCAAGTAAAACGGTGGTCCAACAAATAGATGGATTTTGGACTTCGTTGGTTATTTCATTGCAACTATGAATGGATGGTTATAATCAGCTTGGGAAGAAATAAACAGAAACAGGCCCGAACTCAAAAATTATGACATCTTTACATGTAGCAGACGCGGTTCTCTTTGTGGGGGGGGAACCAGATTGTTCAGTGGGGTGTAGGTGAGGCATATTATAGTTTTTCACAATAATAATTATTTTCTTTGTTTTCTAAATTTCCAGTGTTGGGAGGGGGAAGAGGCCCCCCAGCTTTGATGCTGGCGTGAAATGCAACAAGGTTAGCTAGGGCTGCATAAACATAAAAAGTTTACCAACAGATCTTTGGTTAATTCTTGAACCAAGTTCCAACTTAAACACAGACAAGAAACTCGCGCTATACGATGCTTGGTTTTCAAAAAGTGTTTCGTTTCCTTTATTTTATAAATACAACATTTCAAAAAAGGTGTCAGCAACTTCAGTAAGGCTGAGGAACAATGAACAAAGATGTTTCAAACATTCAGTAAAGCAGCTGAGCTCACAGGTGCATCCAAACCTGTCGTCTAGAGCTAGGTCTCAGTTTTTGTTCCACTGAAATACACAGAGATGCACTGACAACAGACATACCTGTAGGTCTGGAAGCCAGTTTCAGACATGAACTCACGTTCAAACAGTCCCCAATCTTCCAAAGCAGACATGAGTTTTACATGCCCTGGGGGTTGGGGTCAAATTTGAAAGCTACTTATTACTAAACCGCTGTTCATGGCAGTGATCATACCACAATTAAGAAAGCTTTGTAAGTTTAAGATGAAAAGATTGTCTCAAGTGTGCTTTCATTTAAAAAAAATTTCATTTTGAAAAGAAATATTTGGACTTGAAAGAATTGAAGGACTGTGATTTTTCATCTTAAAAAACAAGAGCCAAAGTAATATTGTATAAGCATAACGAGCCTGTCAAGTGGAGTTGTGGCAGGTGGTGGTTTCTGTCAGTGCTCATCATGAGACTGCAAATACACAGGCTTAGCTCTCTGCCTCAGTCTGTCTTGTGCTTTTTTCCCTCGACTCACCGAGGGTGTTAGGCCCATTGGTGGAATATTTACCTGGAAGAAAAGGGAATCTCAATTCAAAGTTGTCAGAAAGTCAGATATACCTGGGCCCAGAACAGTTCATTTCACAAAACTGAAACTGTCTAGAAGTTGACTGGGTTTGTATTCTAAATTTAGATGGCAGTTTGCATAATGTCAATTTTGCTTCAGTTAAAACAAGAAGAAAGTTTACAAACACTTTTTCATAGTTTTTTACTTTTCAAATGTTGTAAATTAAAAAACAAAAGTTGGATTTGGAAAAGCTGAGATATGATCTATTTACAAATTCCACACATGTACTTACCGGCCTGGGATAGGGACTTTGATAATGTAATGCTGTTGATACAAAACAAAACAAAAGGTTTTGAAGAAAACCTCTAGCATCCGGATTTCAAAAAGATAAAAGTTTATCCTTTTTCTGATTAAAATTAACACATTTTCATTGTAAGTAAACAAGCAGATTTACTGACCTACTGTAAAAAAAAATACATATATGACCTGCTCTGTGAAAACGAGTCACATGTCGACAGAGCCACTTTTGAGTTAAAGACCTATGAAAGAATCTTGCATAACGTTTAAGCAATAGGAACCTTCAACATGTTAACGTCCATTTTCACTGTACCAAACTGAGTAACACATCAAAAGAAAGAGCTCAAATTCCTCAATCTACTACAAAGTAAAACTCAAAAGTAGCTCTGGAGACTAGAGCCTCATTTTTCGGAGGGGGGTCACATATATAAGAACACGTACAGCACAAATGATCAAGCTGACAAGTAAGGCTTGGTTTGCTGACAATATCAATGGAATTTGTTCTCAATTGCTCAAGAAAGACACTAATTTACACTTATATTCTAGTAACCCTGACTTCCAAGGTATTTGTGCCAACAGCCTTCCCGACTTCACTTCAACGTTCCATCAAGATCCATATAAAGTAATGATGGGTCACCTCCAGCCCTGTTGCCAACTTTGCGCATTAGAGGGTACCACAGTACCAGCTGGGAAGGGGTTCATCACAAGAATAGATAATTTTGATGCTTATGGGTTTTGCCAACGGGGGTGGGTACCCCTCAGTGATGGGTCTGGCTGCCTCTTCCATCTTTAATTTTACCCAAACCTCTTTGGATTTTGAAAGATCCGAGATGTTTTGTAGCTAAGATTTCTACACCTGCTTGCTATGGAAGATCAGATTACAGACTCAGTAGTGCAGCCAAGGGGCGGGAAAGAGCAACTGCCCTATGTGTTGGAAGTCTTGCCACCCCTTCTGAGAAAAGCCTGTCTATGTAGTCAAAGGATACAACTGCCCTCCCATAAGATTTCTTTCACCCCCCCCCTGATCTGGATAGGTCACTGTACTAACTCATCTTACCCATTGCCAGTCTTGCTTCAGCCTCCTGAATGTAGATCCTAATCATCTCAGGATCTGTCACCTGTCAAAGGGGGTTTCATATTCTGGTAATTAAGTTGCAGTTTATCAATACTGGAACTCAGTATTTGTCATAATTGAAAACAAGTTTTTCAGGTGAACAAAAATCTCCTAAATACACTGTAACTTGATGACATGTAACCCTCTTTATCAAAGTACACTGCACTTTAGAAATCAAGCATTTCTAGCTATTTTGTAATGATACTGATGTCTTTGGTGAAACATTTTAAGGAAACTGTGCTGAGTTGGTCCTCTATTTTAACTTTCAGGTAGCATGATTAGAAAGTTGGAAGTCTACTCAAATTTTTACAGATTTTTTTTTTCAAGGAAGGTGGTAAAATAGAAACTGTAAAATCTTGGAAACAAAATGGTTCCTTGAAGTCAAAGACCAACTTAGGTATCTTATTTCCTAATCATCTGAGCACTTGGCAAAAACATTCCACCAATCAAAAGAAATTTTCAAACGCTTTGAGTGAAAAGCGTCACCTGCTTATTTTTTCTGAAGAGTGTACGTGCTTCATCCTGGATGTACTGTCGTTCTTCCCTGGTATCCTTCATAAGCTTAGTGCTTGCTTGCCATGTCTTGGCTGCGCGCAGCAGTTTTCGATAAAGGGACAGGACCTCTTGTCTTAGTGCCATGAGGAGTGTCCAGCCACCCAGAGTCACATGACGATCAAAACTCACATCCAGTTAACCTATAGATAACACCCACACAGGACGGGGCATGAGTTGCACAGTCACTGACATTAACCTTAACACTCCTCAATCCTCCAACAGGTGAAGGATTGAGGAGTGTTAGGGTTAATAATTACAGCTAAACACCTGTAATGAGACCACTGTTAAGACAACATCTTCCTGACAAACAAGGAAAGTTTAAAGGGTTGCTGATATCAATTTGTTTTAATACAAACCCTCAAAATGCACGTCTGAACCTAATTTTCAACTTTTATTTCACAATTTCAAAGGGTATTTTACTGCTTTTTATGTTAATGAGATTTCTATATCCATGAGCAAAACTGTGATGTCATTCTAGGAAGAAAACCTCAATGTTACTGTAGAATCCAGATACTTAAGTTCTTAGAGGGCGCTATTACAACTTAATGGTGTCGAGCCCTGTTTTCCTTAAAAAATTGGTGGCGCTCTTCCAAACCATGTCTTTTACAAAGGTTACATGAAATCTCCATTTTGATGCAAGAATGTTGGTGTGTTTTTCGCCTTTTTAGTCTGGCATGTTACCCAATCTTGCATCAAGCAAAGCAAAGCCAAGTCAAAGCCAAAACCTAAAGCCTAAAGACAAAGAACGATAGAGAGAAATAGAACTGGAAAGAAAGAAATAAACCATGGCTTTATCTGCCACGAGTAATACAGGAAATCAGTTTCACTTGTGAGAACCTAACCAGCTACCCCCCCTTCTACACAGTTACATTTGTACTTAATATTTTGTGACTTGGACATGTATTTCATATGTATAAATAAAACTGGGGGTCTCTACTTGACAAGCTATACTTTTTAGAGGCCTCCACCCACTGTAACACTGTACTGTTACTATGAAATATTTCACATGGAAAATGAAGTGAAGGTACATGTAAAGAAGTAAAGTGAAGTAAACAAAAGAGTTGTATTTTTGTAGATTTTGACGGACAAATTTTGTCATCTTTGCTGATTCCTTGTGCACAGCAACAAGCAAGCATCAATCTCATTCTCAGGAATGTTTTCACTTTCAGTAAGTGAGCTCTGGATTCACAGTTTGAACAGAAAAACTATTAGTTCATACCCCGTGCGATCAATCTCATAGCCAGGTACAAGTCAAAGTGTCACACTCTTCTCAAGGGATTTTCACCTTGTACCCAGGTAACCAGTCATTCCAGGGGTCATTTTTTAGAGTGGCGGGTATTCTACAATTACTCCAAACTGGGCCAAATTTGCCCCTTTGCTGCATGTTAAATGTTTGCAGTGATGTCATGCCAATCTCAAGAATGCACTGAACTCAATTCTTCCCAAGCACTAGCAGATGACATCAACACACCAACAGTACAGTGGCCTCGGTTGTCCAGGAAAGCATATTATATGGATAGTTTTGACAGTTTTAAAAAGTGTACTTTTAAATGTCTTTGACCAAATATGAATGTAGGCCTAAAGATTTTTCACACGTTGAAGAACAGCAGGCCTACAAACTGACAAAGTTGCAGAAAAATTGTGTCTAACTCTATGAATAATTCATAAGCCTTGTCGCTTGTAATACCATATGGGTTATTTTGTACAAAGGTAGAAAGGCACTGTGGGATATACAGAAAGAGGGGCACTGTTTGTTTGCTCCTTCTTCCTTCCCACACTCTACCATTGTGCAAAATCACACAGGCAGTATTTCAATATTTGCGATAAGGCTTAGGCCTGTTACGCCCCAACTATAGCATCAGTCCCAACTATAGTTGGGCCCGTCCCAACTAGAGTGCTACAGTTGGGCCGGTTCAACTACAGCAGAGAGGTCCTGTGTGCATGATGTGCCCAGCATGTGCCAAAGTCATATTGTTTACAAATGTCATGCCATTCGTCATAGGGCTAAGTGCCACATTTTTGATGAATTGTGTCAAGTGTGAGACACATTGACTTGGACAATGTTGAGACATTTCCCACAGACACTGGTCAACAATAGTTGGGCCAGCCCAACTGCAGCACTACAGTTGGGACTGTCCCAACTATAGTTGGGACTTCTGCTATAGTTGGGGCGTAACAGGCCTATTGCAGCTTTAACATGATTGGAACTTTCCACTTGTCATGCCTGTCATCTCCCAACAATAAATTCTATCAATAGTATCATGCAGTACTTGCCACGAATACTCCTGCACTACTAACCAGCTAACCGTAATGCACACGAATGGCTGAGGTTCTTTTCCTTGCCGTTTTTTGTGTAATTTCTAGCGTCATAGATAAACCAGCAATTCGTGACATACAGTACAAATCGCCAATAAACAAGCTACGGTATTATGCGCTTTGGACAACATTAAGGAGTCGATACTTTCTCTACGCAAGGAAAGCGTCCAAAACCTTGAGGTTTAAAGTATAAACAATACTAAAGAATCGATACTTTATACACGAACAAGTTTTTATGTGATCGATTTTTACTGATGAACATCCGGGCTAGTTTTGCTAGTCACAAGATGGCTGCGCCCAACGAAGTGCCCCAAAATTTGATCGACAACCGTTTCGCTTCTGAATGTGATTTATGATTTAACCATGGCTACTCCTCATCCAGGCTTAAGAAAGAAAATTCTGTCGTCATCTTCAATATCTCAGGTAAGCATTATTATCACTTTTATATCATAAAAGACCTCGTTAAAATAAATCTGTTTCAACCCTATCCAACAACATGTTCAACGGGCCTGGGCATTACATAGGCCTAGCATGCCTAGCTCTAATTGGAACGTTAGTAGGCCTATTCCTCTTTTTCGATTTTGAACGGGATCGTCATACTAACGCTCCACGCCTGTACATAGAGTAAGGTGAAAACGGTTCACGAAAATTCCCAAGACTCGCCCAAAATACCTCTAAAGCTCTATCACCACCTAGGCCTACTGTACTGTACTACTAGTACTAGTAGTACTGGCTTCCGTAAATGCCTGCAAAGTCAAACGGTTGGGTCAATGAATGATATTTCTGACGGAAAAAATGTTGCACCCTGACTCTACTTCAGCAGTTGTGTACAAAGTCTATGGGGAGTGAAGAAAATTTTCTAAATATTTCCCAACAACATCGGTAAATGTTTCTTAATCCAGAATTTGTGTCTTTTCAGCATTTCTGTAATGACTGACTTTTAATTTTATTTAGATGATAGGCTTATACTGGCCTATGATGAGAAAAGTGGAGTCAGGTCAGGATGCAACATTTTCTCCAGTTACTGGGCCAGAAAGTCTACACACCCATATTTGAAGGGGAGGAGGCAGCGAAAATTTTAAGTGCTGTGCATGTGTCGAGCAAAAACAGTCGGATTTTGACAGATTTTGAAGTAAGAAATATCATTGAAGCCCCAACCGTTTGACGTTGGCATTTACGGAAGCCAGTAGGTGGTGATAGAGGTATAGTTTGGTATGTCTTTGGAATTTTTGAGAGCCGTTTTCACCTTAGTCTATGTACAGGTGTGGAGCGTTAGTATGACTATCCCATCCAAAATCAAAAAAGAAGAATACTAACGTTCCACTCAGTAGAGCTAGGCATTACACTGGTACAGTCATGACAGTACTAACAGGGTCCAGACAACTCAACCGTTTGCCAACTCGATTTTGGACAACTCGACTGTTGAGATAACTCGACCGTTCATGCGTTAAAAGGAGAGACAAGTCGTCCGTTGAGACAAGTCATCCATTGTGACACGGTCCGCTAAGCTCAGTCGTCTGCAGAGGCCATGGTGTGAAATACTATGCCTTAATACGTGTAATAATTGGTTTAATCAGACTGAATTAAACTGTCTCACATCCATGTGCTAGTGTGTGATTTACTCAGCGGGCATTATCACTTCTCAGCGGGCTTTATCAAATGTTAATACACAATCATGTGATGCATTTTGACCAAAAAGAAACAGAAAAACTGTCCCCAGGTTTTTATTATTTCAAAAGAAGTCACGTTTTGTACATTAATTGAGGCTTACATTTTTGAGATTGCTTTCATCAAACCAGTTAGAGAAGACCAGTGACTGGACTACAGCGCTGTGCCTGTCTGTACCAGAACTTTTGTCTGTAAAAACTACATGAATGCAGTCAGCTTGGTTTGATGTGGTATCTCTGTGCCAGAGTGTTTACTGCATGTTTCTTGTTAAATTCAAGTAAGCTGTTATTACTTGGCAGTCTCCTGCGCCAAGCTGGACCGATGATCTTCCAGTCTGCCACCTGTCTGGCATTGGCTATTCGACCAATCAGATCTATCGACAAGACGGTGCTCGAGAGGAAGAGCATGAGTTTGAAGATCGCTTCTTCCACTTCAGGTGAGATTACTCGGTCTGACATGCCATAGCCACGATGGCTATGGTGGATTTCCTGTGGGGCCAATTAAATAGAGCTGCTTAAGCACAAAATTTGCTTAAGCATGAAAAACCTTGCTTGAAAAATCAGGTTACCAGCCAAATCTCCATGTGATGTATATTGTTTTGGAATAGTATTCACCTGTCTTTGGGTTAGCATGACAATTACATAGATTTTAAGCTGGCAACCTTTGGTTTTGAAGCACGTTTTTGCAAGTATGAATTTCAAGACCTGTTGTGTGACACAGTACCATGCTGCAGGTGTTTGTGGCCCAACTGGGTAAATGTTGCATTGCTGAGTATCAAAAAGATTGCTTTGCAATTAGTCACAAATTGCACATTCTACATTGCATGAGGGGGTTCAACTTTTGGTGCAGTCTACCAGGTTCGTCACATTGAAATCCTTCTCTGCACGGCACATAGTGTGTTAAGTGGCATCCCCAACTTTGGTCCTTGATAATTTCTCAGGAAGAGTTCCAGATGAACACTTCACTAATTTTCCCGTGTGGTGTTACATCAGCCGTCAGAAAGTGATAACATGTGCTAAAGAGCCAAAATTAGCAGATAAAATATTGAAGCATTTACATGTACTTATGAAGTACTTAAATTGTTCAGACCAGTCCCATAGGGCTTGTGCATCGGTTGTCAAGTGATGTCCGTATATGGAACACTTTCCAGTTTCATATTTAATCTAACCCTACAGGCTTTATTGTAAGGGGGGTTCCTTAGTTCTCCAAAGCGAATCACTGTTCAGGGACCCAGCGGTACTTTCTTTGCAGCTTAGTATTATACAAGTGTGTAGTGCACAACTCCTCCAACTCCTGCACATCCTCTTGGTAGGTCTTTCTGAGGACATTGGAGGGCTTAGGGCCAAGTGTAACCCTTCTGTACAGCACGCAGTCAGAACTGCACTTGACCCGAAGTGATCTTTTTCCACCTGACTCAGGACTAACGAGTTTGAGTGCTACCTCTACGGCGTCTTTGATGGGCACGATGGGATGCACGTGGCCGACTTTGCCCGTCTCCGCCTGCCGGCCGAACTGCTCCTGGGACAGCTCCTAGACATCAGGGAAGATGAGGCATTCAGGAAAATCCTCCACCATGCCTTCCACACCGTGGAGAGGAGTTACTTTGAGAGCATCGACGAGCTCTTGGCCGAGCGGACCAATCTCAAGTTGCAGCTGCCAGAGGTATGGTTCATGCTCTCTCAAAATGACTGTTCTTGGTACTCCTGCACAGCCTTCCTAAATGCTTTTTTTGTCTAGAATATGGAACTACCCATTAGAACACAGTGATGTTAATTCATCTGTTGCCCCATTGCGTTATCTTTGTTTCTACACATCTCAAATGTTTAGAAATTGTTGACCGGGAGTGCCTCACTTTCAAATCAAGATGGCCGACTCTTAGAGCAAGGTCAGTTGATATCTTCCTGTTTCTGTCTTTTTCTGCTGACTACACAGGAGCTTAACGACTATGAGCTGTACCAACAGTACCCTACCGAAGTTGACAAATTACAAGCCTTGGATAGTCAGATCATTGGTGGCGCTTCAGCTAATGTTGCACTCATCGTCTCTGGAAAACTCTTTGTAGCTAACGTGGGTAAGTGCCACAAATACCGACTTGTTGGCTATAGTCAGTGAAAGAATCTCAAATTTTGTATTTTGTACATTTGATAGTTGCTAAAAGGCAAACAAAAAAATTTTCAATTTTCAGTTTGCACTTTGTTGTGAAAGTCAAGTGTATATTAATTCCTAATATTCAGCACTGCCTCTCTACTTTCTGGTTCAGTTACCAGATTGAACACAACACTGGCTTGTTCAGTTTGGTCCATGTTCTCTTGTAGGTGATTTTGTAATTGTCTTCGGAAAGCCAGTTGCTTTCTTGAAAGACACAAGCAGAGCTTCGAATCCAGCATTTCAGAAGACCTGTTTTATTTCCTTTCCTCCCAGGGGATTCAAGAACAGTCCTGTGCATCAGGGAGCCAGATGGTAGTCTCTCTGTCAAGCAGCTGAGCATCGACCACACTGTCCACAACGACGACGAGGTACTGAGGCTGCAACAGCTGGGCCTTGACATCACACAGATCAATGGCAATCAGCTGGGCAGCTCCAACACCACCAGGCAGATCGGCGACCACTCCTTGAAAGGAGGCTATAAGGAACATGCCACTCTGAGGTAAACTTAACAAAAAGATCCAAATCTTGTTCAGATTTTGAAGGGTGTTACATCTGTGTGTTTGCTTAAAGCTGAATTCCTAAGCATTTTTTACTACAAAGTCTCCTGTATCTACCATTATCATACTCTAGGCAGGAAACCAATGGCGCTTTGCACTTTAACTTTCAAGGAGCATCAAGTCCAGTGTAAAGTTTTATTATTTGGACTGCACATTCCTTAGTCCTACACAATCCTCCAAAACCTGGTGGATTTTGAAGGATCTTTTGGTTTAAGACTGAGACCCAGTGCATATATTTGTAGCAGCCCTCCAGTGGTGATACTGCGCCATGTGCTCATGCATGTAGGCAGGTGAACTTTGACCTGGGCTCTGCTTTTGTAAAATGTGCACATGAATTTGAAAGAATACAAATTTGTCTTTTCCTTTAGTCTTGCGAAGAGTGAGCCAGTGATAGCTGAGCCCGAAGTGATTGGTGGGATACAGCTTAACAGCATGACTGGATTCCTAGCCATGTTCACAGGTGGACTTCATAAATCCCTAGAAGACTCTACTGCCACAGTGCAGGCCAACGTCGACATCGCCAAAATGATTGCGGCGGAATTTTCCGTCCAGTCGACGCTGAGTGGTGTGGCGCAGGGCGTGGTGGACAAGGTCGTCCGCATCCACCACGACACCTACCTGGAGAGGGGGCCTCGGGCCAGCCAGTGCCAGAAGCGCGAGGACATCACCCTCTTGGTGCGGAACTTCAACTTCCCGCTGGGCACCAACGTCACCAGTCCCACCTCACAGTTCAATCCAGTCACGGTGCCCTACAACCCGAAGGCCGCGAGCGGCCAGCGGCCCATGCTGATTATCCCACCGAGGCCTGGGTTCACCAGCCCGCCTTCCCCCCAGCCGAGCCGGCTGCTCCAGCCAGAGCAGATCCTGCCCATCTCACCGACCATGGTCCCGCTGTCCATCAACGTCACAGAGACAATGTCGCCCACATCATCCCACACCAGCACGGTTGAATCACCCACCAGCAGCAGCGTGTCCACGCCATGCAGCAACCTGAATGACACCGATCCCAACAGCAATCAGGACTCCAGGTACAACACCAGCGACAGCGACACTCAGCATGGCGGGGAGGAACTCTTACTCTTCCAGCGCCTGCAGGTGGCAAGCCCACGCCCGACTGAGCCCGATGAAGAAGGGTACATCGAACCCTATGTGGACTTTACCGAATTCAACGAAGCTTTCAATGCGGCCATTATGGACACTCAATTGTCTCAGTGATACAACTGCAATGTAAAATATAATTTTAAATTATTATTTTAATATTTAAATTAGTGCCAAGTGTCCAAAAGTGTACATATTTCTTCCATCATTTGGTCACGGTAACATTTAGCGTTAACTATTGAGTGACAGTGTTGTGCACTCTGTTGACTGGAAAAGAACATGCGTTTTTAAGTTGTTTTCTTTGAAATTTGAAGCCAGTATTTCTCGAGGGTGCACTCAGTCAGGAAGCGTATACTCCATGCAATGCTACATTATTTAAATATTTTAATTGTAAAGACCACAACACCATAGTAAAGCATATGTTTACACTGGTGAGCAGCACTGCAAAAAAAAACAAAAAAAGACAAAAATGAACGCTTTGAATGGTGTAGCAAGAATAGTTTCATGAGGTGATGGATGGAATGTTCCCCTCCGTGAGGTGAAGAACGGAACATTCCATACAAAAATTGTTCTTACTTCTGTACTGAAATATTTATTACACGTATTTGTCAATATACAATGCCAGAATAAATCCTTATCGCCTGATTGGCACATGCCCCCCTCTCCCCCTGAAAGCTGTAACTTGTAAAGTTTAAGGACTGAGCTTTGCTATTCCTAATCATAGCTAGTTGCAATCTTTTGTTCCCCAAACTTAAAAAAAAAAAACAGAACTTGTTTTTCTTGCTTCTGCATTCGTTTCCCACTTTCACAGATTGCACTTTTGGACCGACGCAATAGTTGCAGTTTTCTGTGCTCTGTTGTTGAATGGTCAAGCAGTGAACAAACTAATTGAAGACAACTAGCTGAATACATGAAACACAACAAAGAGACAGTATTGATAGACTGGCTGGCTGAAGATGAAATCAAGAGTTGACTTAATGGCAAATTAAAATGATGTCAATGATATCAAATTATGTGAACAGAATTTATGTAATTATCTTTCGAAGCATTTTTGTACTAGTATTTTTTTAAGTCTGGAAATTTACTGGCAACGTTTATGCAGAATTTAAAATGGGTCAGCTTAATTAATTCACATTGATTTTAAAAATACATGTAATACTGAAAACTGCGTTGAATTGAGTAATTCAGTATTAAACCCATGTGTTGAGTGAAGCACTACTTGGATCATCCAGATAAGAAAAAGTGAGCAGTTTAAAAGTGCCTTTGTAGAAAGCATTGCTGATATTCAGACCATCTTCTGATCAGACACCACTGATTAGTCATCATCACAAATCAATTTTCTCATCTTAAACTTCCGAATTCTAGGACCAATCTGACATTGCCTACAGAGTATCTCACATAGAGACCGTGTTATAAGTCTTGTTTTATCAAATCAAAATGCATGAGCTTTACATACACTGTCATGTTATTGTTGCTGTATGTGTGAAATATGTACAAGCTCAAGGGTTCTCATGATTGTAGAAGACTTTGCAAAAATGTCTGCAAGGCTTCAAAGTGTGAAATATCACAGCTGTCATTTACTGCTACCAAATAATGTATTTATTGTCTTTTTAAAAATGGCCTTTTACCTACTTTGGTTGCATTAAGTATTTGCAAGTTTTTTCCTTGATATCAGACCAAGAAACATTGTCACCTTAGTTTTTCTCAGTGATAAGTTTCTCCATACCCATTATCGCCCTGTGTGAATTCATCACTAACCCAGATCAGTAAAAAGTAAAGCGAGATTACAAGACTTCTGTATTTTCCAACTTCTTTCAATAAATGTACAACTCAGTTTAAAAAAAAGGTCTTTATGAATTGTCATTTGGTCAACTTGATTGTTGAAACAATTACTGACGTGCTTTCTCTTGAGATGTTACTTGTAAATACTGCAAGTAATGCATAGCAAAATTTGTCTTTTAAAAAAGCAACAAAAAGCTGTGCAACTGAAGTGTTCAATAACCATTATCCTCTTGTTTTTGCCATTGCTGGTCATCACCTAGGGGCAGAATCTTCCACTTGAAACAATGGAAATTCCTGAACAATCAAACAAATTAATCTTTTGAAAAGCATCTCCCTTCCCTTAAAATGCCATCTTAAAATATTTGGGGCATCAACAGATGGATGGATTGAAAGTATGTAAAAACCAGTTTGACTTGATAATTACGTTTGTTACATTTATTTCAGAACTATGGCTGCTTTTGGGGTTTTTAATTGTTTAAAACTAAACATCCAAACAGGATATAAAAATTCAGCCTCCATGCTAGTAAGTTGATGAAACAAACAGCTAAATAGTGTGTGAGCATGTTCTAAAAAGTACGATTGGGCCAAAATGAACGCGTATTAGGTATACTGGAACAAAGAAAGAAAATTGGCATCCCTTAAAACAGCATCAATTATGTGACCCGAGGTCGCCAGAGCAGTGTTTGATTTTTGTATTTCTTCCAAAGAATTTCAATACAATATTAAAGTGGGAACCTTCAGAATTATTCTCCAAAATATCTCATCAGGTCTCAAAACATGAATCAAAACAAGTTTTGTAATGCATAATAAATGACATCTTGCCCAGTAATCAAAACACCTAAAAGTTCATAGCCGATGAAAACAAATGAAGACAGAAATTTGAAATGACCAGATGTCAAATCAAAGAGATTCATGATGTTAGTACGAACAGTCTGTTGACAGCAAATGAAAAATTCAGGCTTCAAGCCCACTCAAAAGGGAATTGCTGCCCGAGTCCTCTTTCCGCATTCATGATTGATCGCATACGAGTCAAACCGAGGCTCATTCGACAATACTGAGGAAGATGAACAAATAACACACACATCTGCCACTTAAACATTGGCGCTCTTCAACAATCAAGAGAGACTTCACCAGACCTCAAGGAAAAATCACATGCAACTGCATTCAAAACCAATTCACGTCGGCCATACCAAACTGGAAACAGGTTCATTTACTACAAAAATGTAGAAGGACCACGAGTAAAATAACAGTTTTACAGCGCTATTACAGAAAATAAAAGCGGCTAAGATCTCTTTGAGATAGAACTTTCCAAAACAATTTGGTAGGTTGACAACAATGCACAGGATGACTCGCCTTGGGAAAGTCTTATTCTTTAGACAGTTGTCACTGCACTTCGCCCCCCCCCTCACCACACTTATCATTTTAATTACGCCAATGCCAAGCTCTTGGCTTGATTGCAGGATCATGGGATGGGTATTTGAGAATGAATGATTCTGTCATCAGAAGTCCATGCTCAAAAAAAAAAACATAAAAAATCACCCGCAAAACGAAAAAAGCCTGAGACTGAAAAAAATGTACTGAACAATCACGAGTTTGTTTGTGGTGATGATTATGTATTTATGCCATAACTTAATGCATGAACTTGTGACCTGAAAACGAGTAGCCTCATTAACTTAATCGGTGAAAAATTATTTGCTGACAACAGTAAACAATTAATGAGCCAGTTCCGTATTTCAAACGAGCCACGGTCATTGCTAATGACCTCTGGAGTAACAAGTTCTTTAGGTTGTACATGTATTTCTAGAGGGCGCTGTTTGACAAACACTCAAAATGTGAACTTTTTCGTGACCGCACTGATTTTGTCACAAATTCTTTCGTCGTTTTCAGCACTGAGTTACTGGTTACTTTTAAGTTTTACAACTACTGTGGTTCGGAGGAAAATAACGGCATTATATCAACTCTGAGTACACATAGAGGGGTATTGGCACAAGGGCTACAGTTGTCCTCGAGGCTCAAGCCTCATGAAGTTGATGCCGCAGGATCAGGACCGGGGCCCGTATGTTTTCGCATGGTTTACGGCACAGGCCTGTGCCTACTTCCGCAGATTTATTGTACTCTCTTCTGAGATGATTATCCTATGAATGGATGTTAATATTCAAAGGCAAATCAACATAGGGTGGAGTACAGTAAATTTGCGCAAGTTCAAGATTGCACTTAAACGCTTGCTGAAACTGACACGCTGCCACCTCTAATCTTAAGTGTTAACAACCTTGAGTTGTTTTTAGTAAGCAGTGCCATTAAGTTGGGCCGTGGAGGTAGGAAACCTCCATGGCTGGGCCCAGATTGGTAACACTAACAATGCAAGTAGTCGTTGTGTGCAAGTATTAAGATATTTTGAATGGCAGATTTAACCCTGTCCACTCCTATTTTAGTTCTCCCATGATAACCGCCCCATTTGTATTCTTACTTTGTTTTGGGTAAAGAGTTTCATATGCAGAAATCACTTGATATTATGTGCACAAACTTTTTAGAACAGGTTAGCACTTTCTGATGGCTGATATAAAAATTTGAGGAAAAAATTAGGGATTGTTGAGGTCGGAGGTTTTTCCATTTATTGCTCTCATGTCTGGGCAAAGGGGGAACTCTCCATTCGCTTTGTACAGGGATTTGCACATTCTCCTCTTTTTTTGGCAGCAACACTAAAACCTTTTCCGTACAGTGTGGGAAATGTTTATAACGCATAAATAGTGAAATTCCAGGCACATTTGATGTAAAGGTTAAGAGTTTGAGTTGATTCACATTTTTCCCGTAGACCGCTACCCTATTTTTGCCCCTTTGAGTTTTGAGTGTGAAAGAAGGAACAGCCATCAATTGACCAATCACAGAGAAGAATCAAGAATCAGTGACATCATTCCGACCTCGAGAATGTCCATATATGAACTCTTACATGTACCTGTTATTTTACTGTCAGTGTACATATGTGTCATATGGGATATGCATCTGCAGTCCCACATTGATTTGGCATCATGTCTGTCACCCACTCATCCTTAAACACAATATTGCTGAGTAGGTATGTCTTCTTAAAAAATGAACAGCGTACATGTTTAATGTCTTTAACAGTGTTTCGTATTGATTGTAAATGTAGTTAATCTCTCGGACTTACATACAATTCAATCACTTTTAGATGCTTTGTCTTGCAGCAACTCAAACTCAAGGATACAAGAGTGTCCACCATCTCATCTTGTTCGTTGACTCCTTAGCACCATGGCTTTCACCCTTCATATGAACTCCTTGGCCTTTGCTTTAACCGTATTCGGCAACAAACTGACAGCGTCTGTGTTCCAGTTCTATTACGTCAAGTTGTTTCTGAACCACTACCACATATCTGAATCCTGGTTTTCATTTGCCCAAGTGGTGTATCTCGTCTGGAATGCGGTAAATGATCCCCTGTTTGCCTACTGGCAGGACAACTCCCAGATTAGAATTTTCCGCAGCCGGAGACTGGCCATCGTGTATGGAGCCCCGCTCTTCAGCATCTGTTTTCTGTTGCCATGGTTTCCGTGGGGAAATTACCATGACAACAGCTGGCTTGTGGGTGTCCATCTGACTGTGTCGCTCTGTGCCTATGATACACTTTTCACATTTGTTCTGCTGGCTCACTGCGCGATGTACGCTGAGATTTCTTCCAAGCACGAGGATCGTCTGCGCCTTACCAAGTACTGCCAGGTTGCGTCAGTTCTCGGAGCAACGAGTGTCATGGGTGCAGAATTTGTCTCTTCCAGCCTGGAAGACTTCAGAGCATTCCAAATGTTTTGCCTAGTACTGGCTTTAGTGAGTTGGTTAGCCATGCATTACACTGGTCGAAATGTTGTGACTATGTATGACAGTGTTCCTATTGATGATGCCGCGCCGGATACCAGTGATTCAATGAGCAAGTCCTCTGCGACGAGACCCAGGGCCTGGACCCAATTTAAGCAAATTGTCTGCGAGAAAAACTTCCTCTCCTTTGTGACTATGAACTTCTGTCAGATACTTCACACCACATATGAAGCCAATTTCTTGGCCATTTTTGCCGACTTGCTGATACCGTCAAGTGACTTACCTCCGCGGGCGCGAAGGATGCTATACGGTTCTGCATTTGTCTTACCGCAGGTCAGTATAGCCATCCAAGTTTCCACTCTGAACTCATTTGCTGTACAGTCTAAAGCGCTTGGTAAGTTTATTGGTAATATACTTAGGTGCACTCTCTCCCAATCCTGTACAGAAATGGTAAGTTTGTGCTTGTTAACCATTCAGATGTACTCCGTATATTACAACAGTAGCAAAGCCAAGACCAAGATTTTTATCGTAAAGGGGTGATTAGTGGACTAGACGTCAAGGAGGTGGGGCGAAATTGAAATTTTTCTTCGTTATTTGTATTTCAAATTTTCCAGTGTGGTAAGGCTTTTTTGTAGGGGGGCATATGCTCCAATTCCCCCCCCCCCCGTCACCTTATGCCACGACCTTACAGCATGGTTGCCGTACCATCTACCTTTTCCGAGATAACTTCCATGCAAGCATGGTCCTGTGGATAGTGGCAGTTACAGAGTTTCATATTACAAAATACCAAAGCCTTGGCTCACTCGGGATGTCTTAATGCACGATCCATCCTTGGGGATCGGCAGTAGCTTGGTTGGCTCAGGAGTAAGCCTGGCTTAGACTACTTCAACTGAGGCTTATGAGCTCAAGCCCTGATTTTGTTGATTTGGGAAAAATAGTACCCATGGGTTTGTTGCACAGAGTCGGAGACAGATTTCAAGAAGACACCTTTATTGCTTAAGTAGGGGTTGCGGTGAAACGAATCACAGCGCAGTATAAATTGCATTTTACTTATGTATATTGTGAGATACTCTTGTGAATTTCCTTTCCCCAGGTATTGGTGCTGATGCTTGGACCCGTGGCTGGGAAGGTTGGTTATTACAAGGTCGTCTTGTATTCATTCATCCTCAAGATTTTCAGCGGTGTCGCCATGTTTGTGATTGGGCAAACTCATACCTGGATTCTGGCAGTCTTCTTCCTGATTGATATGTACGCGTTGATTATCTTTATCATGTGCATATCGGTGTTTAGTTTTCAGACCTCTCAATCACAGTTTTCCTGTGCGACTCACGTCAGCAGGATTATGTACATTACTTTTTGCTTTCATCAGTCCTATGACCCGCGAGCTGGACCCGGAGAGGGTGCAATTTTCTTGGTAACAGAGTCTCTTTTGGTGGGATCTGCACTTCACTGGTTCACAAATGACTATGAAATGCACACATTATGGTCACATCATTACCAACAGCATGAACACTCCCCACCGACACAGCTCTTTTCAGCCAATGGGGGGTGCTTCTGCTCAAGGCAGATAGGAAAAAGATCTAAATCTAACCAGTTTTAGCTCAGTGGATGTTCTTCCTTTGAGGAATAGAGTGAAAGAAACCTGCAAATTAATGTTTTATTCGGGAAATATTTATTATTTGTTTTGATAACTTGACAATTAAAAACATCCCCATCTAAACACTTAAAAGAAAAAAACTGGTTAGTTTTTTCAGTGCCTAAATTATTGATTTCTGGCAATTAAAACAGACCACACCGTAAACTACACAGTGTGGACTGTGTTTTATAAAGCTGCAGTCTTTTACTCAAGTCCAATAAAGTTTTTAATTGAAATGCCCCCTATTTGAAATGATCTCATTGACATTCTGTTAAAAGTCAATTTATTGTTCTGTCTGCAGGTGTGTTCCTGATGCTATCTTTTCATTCTTCAATCTACCCCTCTCAGATATCATTGATTACGATAAGGACAAATACAATAGGAGGTAAGAATAATTTTACATGTTTAGAGAAAAGTTCCTGAACATGCTGTGGACTCACTAGTGTTTTCTTAGCCTTGTTTTATAAAAGAGGAGAAATATTCATTTTCCTGCAGGTGAGTCAAACTCTTGCTAAATGTATACAACCACCCGTCTCTTTGTTTGATATGTTTTTTTTGAGGGCTTTCGATTCATTTCCACTTGTGAAATATTTAACTAAGAATATCTGTAGTTTAAGCTGACTAAAGTCAAAATCAAAGTGTAATATTTTTGTTTTTGTGTACTTGTTGTTTCTCTCTGGATCAGGACTCCAATCTCTTCCAGCGTGTTTGGTTACAATGCGCTGTTCACCAAAGCTGCTGCTTCTGTTGCTCCCATGGTGATTCTGAATGCACTGAACCGATACGGGTACCAGACTCTCATGCTACAAGACACGACACCGAATCACCACACTGACACAGACTCGATGGAGCAACTACACAAAGTCATGTTTTTGCTGGCTTGCTGTATCCCCATTGTCATCGGTTGTGTACAGATGCTAGTCTGGTACCCTTTCTCCATCAGAAAAAGCCATATTGTAATACCAAAACACATTGAATCGTGAGGAAAGCCGCTGAGATAATGAGTCCCAGTTGGAAGTATTCATGTAGAAAGTTGAGACCTCTTAAGACCATCATAAGACCAAACAAGAATGTCAGAGGACGCACACAAGACCTCCAAGTTCGAATTTGAGTTGCAAGCTATTCAGATGCAATATTACGAAGGCATTCTTGTCATTGTTCACCCTGTTACTTGTGACTTCACTTTGATGGTCTCAACTAGAGTGCTGCCACTTGATGTATCACACTCTTTACATTGTACGTACATTACCAGACCTGATCAAGCACAAATCACTAAGCTTGCAAGGATTTTGTATAAATAACCTCTTACCATGCTAAATGCACCTAAAAAACCTAACTAGATCTCTCTCATTGGATTCCATCTTTGAAGGAAAATTACAACTGCATATACAATATCGACAGGTGCGTGTGCATGCAGTGTGCAAATGTTCTAAACTTACACGTGTGTTGATTCAAATATCTTTGAAAAACAGCATAGCTGATGTACATCACAAAACTTTGAAGTTAAAATGCTGATGCAATCTGTAGGGAGTGACGTCATTTGAGAGAGACCTATAGTTTTTTGACTGGGATTTGTTTGAAATGGAAACAACTGCTGCTTTTTTTTCAAACATAGGTGGTGGATAGCTTTGAGTCTTGAAGATGCTTTTCTGTCTGTTGTAAAGGATTTTTTTTTAATCTGAATTTACAGCTACACTGTTAGAAACAAATAAGTCTGGATATGCTGAAAATCAGACCAAACAAGAAGCAGACTGTATAACTGCTTGATTCTTTCACTTAGCCCAATTTTTAAGAGGAGGCAAAATTCTCCTGGATTTTGTCAATCTTAGGGAGTAGAAAATAATGTTTTGTTTCAGATATCAAACTTTGTTGGAAGAGTGAGTCGGAGAAAAAGGTTGTGGCTGATAAATCTCTGTGGAAATCATTCCTAGAAATGCCTGTCATTTGAGCATTTCTTTGATTGGTTAATTTATTTAAATTCATATTTTAAATAGAACAGATTTACAAGCCAAGTGTACAAATTAAAGGCAGGCAAATTTGGGTTTTGAAGGTATATTATATTTCAATGATGTACCAGCTTCTTGGTGTATGGTTATTTTAGAAATTTTATTCTTTCAAAGGGTACTTTTTATTCGTGGAATCTCATATAAAATTATGATTCAAATGTTTGTTTCCTTATATTTTTCTATCATTTTTGCCCTAAAGGGAGAGCAGTAACGGCATTTATAAAATGCAACTTATAAACTGCAAGCTATGACCACGAAATGGTGTAGAGTTGGAACTATTCACGGGTTAATATGGAGCTTCAAAAAGTTTTTTTTCCTCGCAGAAATAAAAATGGGCATGCACATACGTACATGCTTGGTCTCAGCTTGAAGCTTGTATTTTGTTTCTTCCCCCCCTACTCTTTAGTCGACCCCATGACCCCTGCAAAATCAAGCCAGTTTTGTTACTCTGCGGTCCATTGCGTTCTATATTTTTCCTTTTTCCAATAATTTCAAGCACACAATTCTAGTTGTATACAATTTCGTAGTGTGTGTTAAGTAGTTTCATGCCGAGAATCATCCTTACAAGACGTTCCATAATTTACACATACAAAAGTAACCGGAAGTTCACTCTATGCAGAAAATTGTGTTTTCAAACTTTATAAATTGTCATTTTTTTCTTCAATTATCTACAACCTTTTCATTTTAATGAATTGCTTATTGTACGCAACGTATAAACATATATTTTTCAAATACCACATCCAGTGGATACGCCAAAATTTTTCGTTCGTTTGGCATTTTTAGTAGGCTACCGCTACACATTAAATTTGTCGGCTTCCTCCAATGCGAAGACCAATTAAATAAGGTGTTGAGGTTGGAAAACCTGAGAGAAATTCTGCCGGTCAGCAACTGGCGAGTCCGAAAGTTCATGTGTAGTGTTCAACCAATCCAGAGGAAGAAGGACGTTATGATGTTCCAATCATATCTCAGAAGTAAGGGGCTACGACTAGGCTACTATACTACCTTGGAGCTAGGTTCGATTCCTGCTCGCTGCGCTAACCCGCACCCGCCCATACGCACCGGCACCGACACCAATACTACATGCAGCTGGTGTGCATGTGAGAAGCGATACTGCCAAGGCCGCGCGGGTTTAGTACTTTGACCATAGGACAAATACACAATTAGCTGGAGGAGGAAGAAAAGAAATGCGTGAGGAAAAATGGATAAAACAAAGCCTACCCTCTGGGTAATAATATCAAGTTTTCCAATCATATGCATAAAAGCCGGCGGAGCGTGATAACACACGTGCATGTTCACTGTACCGTATCGAGTATGCCACGTAGACAACGCGATATGTACATTGTAAGTATACACGAAAACGTGCACGTACCACTCGGCCCGGGGAAGCGGAAGTGATCATGTATCGACAGTGGTTACTTGCGGTCATGTGTACATGTACGTATACTTGGAAAACCGAGTTATGAACAGCTAAACTTTCTACCTCATTGAATGACTTTCTAAGCTGTAGGCTTTGTATTTTCTATTTGGCCCAGTCTGCAGCTACAGACTAGTTGTATGTTTGTAGTATGGAGCTTTTGAAGTGTGCAGAGAACGCCTGGGAAAGATTTTACTTTTCTATCCCTACCAAAATCAATTTGGGACAGCAAAAATCTTTGAAAATAACTATCCAGTTGTGCTCATATTATGTAAATTCTTGTCCATGGCACACCTAAGTAACATTTATTCAAGATGTTACTTAAGCGTGCCACACATGATGGTACAACCTTAAGACTATCATCAGGATATATTCGTGCAATTCCCGGGGGAAGCAAGTTCCGGTTTCTGTGTTCGACGGATCTTGGCACTTGTTGACTCAAAGAAAGTGTTCACGGGTAGGCCTATTTTCTGCCCAGTTTTTCACCGGTTTTACTGAAATAAATCTGGAAATGTTGTTCAAACAGTTATATAATGCCGAACACAGCTGGATAGTTATTGTCAAAGATGTTTGTGTTCTTGACCAATTCAAGTGAGAGTATTTAAATAAAATCATGGTGCAGATCCTGGGGTGAGGGGAGGGCCCCTCTTCCCTGCTCTGAGACCGAAAAAATGTAAAAAATAGGAAAAATAAAAAATAACTGAAGTGTACAAAGGTAATTGGCCAGTACCATTGGAAACAATGTTTACCTTGTAATGTTTCGTCATCATTTCTGCTTGTCTGCAAAAATGAGACACACACAAAAATTTCCAGCCCGACCCTCCCTGTAAAATTGCCTGGATCCGCCCCTGAAGTCTTTCATTTTGAATATCCCCAAATATCATGAATACATAAACACCAACAATTTTACATAGAGCATAATTTGGGGATCAATTTAAAAAAAAAAAGGATCGGGGATTCAGGATCTCGCAAGAATTACAGGTTTGAAAACTAGAGTGGATTTGTTTATGTTTATAGTAAGTTGGTGTTTATAGTAAAATTGATTGTGTAAACAAGTGGTAAACACAAGTGGATTCTGTCACCATGCAGTTTGGCAACAGTTTTCATTCTTTTGATTTATCTCTCACAGTTTTAATGTGAAGTATACACAATTTGACTGTTTTAAGTAGGTCAACATTACCTGGAGTGTACATTAATGCAAATTATTTTTAATTCCACCACTTTCAGGACTTTAAAGACAAGTAGCAACACAGCCACACTAGTAGATCAAAGTCTTCCATTTGAAGGCATAAAACTTTGCCTGTGGTCAAGAGTTTCTCTCATTCCATCCTCAGCACGTGAACACCATGGCTTGCAAACTCCATATGAACTCTGTTGCCTATGCTTCAACAGTATTTGGCAACAAATTGACAGCATCTGTGTTCCAGTTCTATTACGTCAAGCTGTTTCTGAACCACTATCATATATCCGATTCCTGGTTTTCATTTGCCCAAGTGGTGTATCTTGTCTGGAATGCGGTAAATGATCCCCTGTTTGCCTACTGGCAGGACAACTCCCAGATAAGAATTTTCCGCAGCCGGAGACTGGCTGTCATGTATGGAGCTCCACTCTTTAGCATCTGTTTTCTGTTGCCATGGTTTCCATGGGGAAATTACCATGACAACAGCTGGCTTGTGGGTGTCCATCTGATGGTGTCACTTTGCGCATATGATACATTGTACACATTTGTGTTGTTGGCTCTTGGCGCGATGTACGCCGAGATTTCTTCCAAGCATGAGGACCGTCTGCGCCTCACCAAGTACTGCCAGGTTGCATCTTTTCTCGGAGCCACAAGTGTCATGGGTGCAGAATTTGTCTCTTCCAGCCTGGAGAACTTCAGAGCATTCCAAATGTTTTGCCTAGTGCTTGCACTTGTTAGCTGGCTAGCCATGCATTATACTGGTCGAAATGTTGTAACCATGTACGACGACATACAGGTTGATGATGCTTCATTTGAAGCCAGTGATTCAGCGAGCTCTTCTTCATCAACCAGTCTCAGGGTCTGGACCCAATTCAAGCAAATCGTCTGTGAGAGGAATTTCCTCTCCTTTGTAACAGTAAACTTCTGTCAGGTGTTTCACGTTACATATGAAGCCAATTTTCTGGCCATTTTTGCCGACCAGCTCATCCCTTCAACTGACCTTCCCCCGCTAGTCAGGAGGGTGTTGTATGGATCTGCGTTTGTTTTTCCTCAGGTCAGTACACACAGCATCCGTGTCTATCCTGTTGTGTGTTGCACCCGTATAGGTATCACGTGGTAGGACTGAGTGCAGAAAGCTATCACAAAATCTTGACTAGAGTGGGAGAGTTTGAAGGGGCACTCTAGCGTAGAAACTAACCAAATGTAGGAGTTGGCCACTACGTGCACCCATATTTTTGTAAAAAATACACGTAATTACCAGTCTGTACAATGTTTTGATAGATTCAGAACTTTCTCGTGGGCATCATCTTTTGCTTGGGGCCAGATCATACCGTACTGCATACATGTATCTGCTTCAGTGTACACAAGTGTCACTGGATCACTATGCTATTTTGAAGTTGACAGAATCTTGCAAGTTCATTCGGGAGTTCGGACGAAGTACATGTACTTATGAACTTCTTTGTTCAAAGACAGCTGTACAAACTGCTCACCAGGTATCAAACAAGTTTATGTGTGGATCCTCCCCAGGTGCTAGTACTGACGTTAGGCCCAGTGGCAGGGACATTCGGTTACTACAAGCTCATGCTGTTCTCATTTGTCCTCAAGACTGTCAGCGGTGTCGCCATGTTTGCGATTGGACAAACTCATACCTGGATCCTGGCTTGCTTCTTCCTCATTGACATGTATGTTAGCGTAAATGTTTCTGCCTGTTAGTTCTAACGCCACATAATGTTTCATGCGCTGTGTAAAAAGATGAAGAATTTCTTCAGATACCGTGCAATGTATGTAATTTCTTTGGTGGTCAGCCCATCCTTGCACTGGATTCAAACCGAGATGAAAATGTTACTGTGGGCTTCCTCTTGTAAACTGGCTCGAAATTCCCTCCTGTCTGTGTATTGTTGTGACTGTCTGTTCAGTCTTCTACATGTGTAACTCTCATTGAAGTGTACGTGTACAGTTTCCTTCTGTGTTTGTCGTTGTACCAGTTTTCCAGTTGAGCGTACCCACTTACAAATTTCGCCTCGTGCAGTGATTAACAGCAGCATGACCAGTTTCAACTTCAGTTTAGTACATCTGTATTCTAAATTGCATCTGGTAACAAATTAAGATTTTCCTCTTAGCCTGACGATTTTTCTCAATCATTTGCAGAATTTGTGTAGTTGGGAATGAACAATTCTTTTTTGTAAAACAATTTCTTTCTTTTCTTTTTTTAAAATTTCAGATGTGTTCCCGAAGCTATGGGTGCCTTTGTTATTCTCCCCCTGTCAGATATCATTGATAATGATAAACACAGATATAATAGAAGGTAAGCACAGTATAGTCATTTACAAGAGATTTGTGAACAATCTATGATGACTATCAGCTACTTTAAAAGTGTGTGTGGTTTGGGGACTTTTCTGTACTCTCTTTCTCTTGCTCCTAATTTTCTCTAGGAGAAGGGCACCAAAGTGGATGACCTGCCAGCTGATCCCTTTGCGTGCTTGTTCTTTTCTCACGTGCCCCATGCCTATTGGCTTGTTGTAGCAGATAAGCTTAGGATCTATGAGAAGATTTGCTGTTATGCCTTAGAAAATATGGTGGAACTAGTTTTTTTCTCAGTAGTAATCACTTTGACTGTCTTAATTCTTACCCCTCCCTCCCCATTTGACCCCTCCCCTTTACCTCATAATCTGACAGGTTTTAGGAAATCTAGTTGCGTTGGTGGGGAAAGAGCTATAAATTTGTCTGGTTTGACCTAAAAAAATTACAAAAATGAACATTGCCAAACTTCAAAAAAAGTGTTAAAAATGTTCCTACACGTACATGTATGTGACTGTTCAATAAACTTGATTGCGAGACTTTCTAACTTCAGATTAAGAGTTTTATTTCTTTGTTTTTTTTGTCCTGGGATCAGAACTCCAATCTCTTCCAGCGTGTTTGGTTACAATGCATTGTTCACCAAAGCTGCCATTTCCTTTGCTCCGATGTTAATTCTGAACATACTGAACCAATATGGGTACCAGACTCTGATGCTGCCAGACAAGTCACTCGGTCACCATGCCAACCAAGAATCAGTTGGGCAACTACATCAAGCCATGTTTGTAGTTGCCTGTTGGATCCCTGTCTTCATTGGCTGTTTCCAGACACTAGTGTGGTCCACATGTTTTTCTATCAGGGACAGTCATATTGTCATACCAAAACATATTGAGTCATGATGAAAGTTGCTCAGAGGTTTTGAAATTTTGTGCTCCATTCATCATTATAAATAGAGCTTATTTTGAGTGAATTATCCTTTACCATGCTAGATTCAAGAACATCAGCGTGTAAGAGTTGCTGAATTTCTGTTGGAGTTTGTTTGATCAGAGCAAGATCAAAAGGCTGTTGGATGCCCTTGCTTCAGTAGGCTTCACTGTTAGATTCAGGCTGTTAGATTCTGGTTTTGGACAAATATCTACATGTATGTAGTAGAGAAAACTATTCCAAAACAAACTAAAGTATCATCATTCTTCAAAAAGTCTGAATAACATGATTTCTTCAGAGTTAGTTACTAACGATTGCTTCAGTGGAAGTTTCCTGTTTAATGGAACTTAAAGTGTGTGTTTTTAAATTGGTTCACACTCATATGTTTCATATTATTATGGCTGTTTCCTGGTCCTTAATACATCAGTAAACCATCATGATTCAGAAAAAATCATTTCTTAATCAGTGAATCTTACTATGAATTCCTAAGAAATGCCAAGACAAAAATGATCAGAATGAAATATAGTACATAGTATTATAATAGGATGTGTTCTGAATATAATCTGAATATGTGATAATCATGTGACTTTCACTCTTATATTTTACAGATTTTTCATTGAGAGAAATATGCAAACTTCGGTGTTGATACTTATTATTAGTATATAAATATTTCAATAGTTTGCTGCCATACTCTTAGAGTCAGATATTTATACCTAATTGCAGTTTACATAATTATAATATCAGAGCATGATCACCTTATATTTTCATATACCCCAACAGAAAACAACTGCTTTTTAAAACAATATGAAATTCTCTGAAACTGAAATATGGAAGATGTTTACCGCTGTCTTTCAAAGGATTATACTACATTTAAATGTTAACTTAAGTCATATCTTCTGTTAATATTTTACCTTCTAATTTGTGTTAACACATCCTTTTTGTCCTGATTTCGCGCTACATATTCCATTGTTTTCCATATCTGTATTTACCATTTGTACACAACACTGTAGATCCTAAAATGCTTCCTTACTTGTTTTTATTTTGCATCTCCCACTGGTTACTTTTATTGTAGTGTTTCATGGTGTGTTGTGTTGTTCATGACATGCCTTACAAAAGCTATTTCTTTGAAGGTTTTGCCACCTCTTGTTGGTTTGAAATTCTCATTTGTAGTCTTTCATACTTTCTGATTCAGCCCACCATGAACATCAGGAAATCAATGGTACACACATGCTTTAAAATACTGAAGAAATAGAAATATTAGGAATGCAGTTTTCAAATGTAAATACATGTTTTATGCGGTTTAAAGAAACCGCATTTTTTAAAAGATGTACTGAATGCTTTTGCAAGATTACTTCTTGCACAAATGCACTAGAGAATCTTCTGCCAGGAAAAATAAATACAAGTACGATATTTTGTAATAAATCTGATATAATAAGTGTTTTCTTCTTTCTTTATAAAATCCCACTGGTGCTTTTACGTATTTTTTTGTTTATTCATACTGAAGGGGTAATAGGATAGAGAAACAGTAATCTTTATTTTTGGGCAAAGTTTCATTTGATGGTTTCGCTTTGGCTTTACATTTTGTAACTGTTTCCCACTGAAATGCATGTCCAAATTCAGCTCAGTTTCGTCACATTACATTTATTTCCTCCTCGTGGCCAGCAACAATGCGTGTGATATTGGGCCATTAGAGGTGGCAAAACCTGGAAAGCAGTTAAAGTTTGTTTCAGACATGCCATTATATGAAACAAACGAAACAGTACAAAAGAAATGACAAAACACAGAAAACATTACGCGTGTACAAAATGAGCATCAAATAAAAATAATAATAAATGAGAGGGCTTGTTTACTGAAAGGTTTTATATTTGTTGTCAGAGGTCTTTGTCCATATTAGAGAAACCGGATGAATGGATTGCTTTACTTGACATTACGTGAGAAACTTTTTAAGTTACAATGCAAATATCAGCAAGAACAAATGGATCCCCTAAGCTGTGAAAGATCTCAACTAGAAAATCCAAGTATAAACTTGACCGCGTAACTTTTGTAAGTATGGAAGAAAAGTGGCCATCTGCTTTTTTGCTATCAGAATATAGTAGAAAAACTGATTTTACGTCTTTGTAACATGCAATTTTTGACTTTTCCACTTTTCTGCTACCTCAAAAGCAGAATGGCCATTTCATTGTAATGCATTTTTCCACTTTTCTGTTATTACAAAAATAGTTTTACTTTCCTCTTTTTGATGGCGGCCGAAAAGTGGCCATCTGCTTTTTACCTGTCAAACAAGCAGGAAAGTGGATTAACGTTTTGACGACAATATGGTGTTCCATATGTGCCGTCCGGCGTCGCATTTTTTAACGGGCGTCACATTTTTCGACGGGCGTCGCATTTTTCAACCGGCGTCGCACTTTTCGACGGACGTCGCATTTTTCAACCGCCGTCGCATTTTTCAACCGCCGTCGCCTTTCAGTGTGAATAAGCCATTAATCATCAATGGTCAACCTTGGTCCAGCCAGACCTGAAGTTGTTGACTTGGATGCTAAAAGTGTGTGTACATATTTTTAATGATTATGGAAACGGCTAAATTAGCATGTATGCGTCGATTAACTCTGGTTGGTATGGTATTTGCCATCTTGCAGACATGCTTCCCGAGGGAGCGTTTATCGCAGTACGGTCTACAATTTAAAATGTAACTACTCTTGGCGAAGAAATGTCACGCACCATAACTTTGAGAAATTTTACGTTTTCTTGGTTGAAAGAAGTTGTCAGCAATACAAAATCACGCACAGTTTTCCGAAAACACTTTTTGAACCATGAAAATCTGTCCAGAGGAAGCCAAGACTGATCTTATTTTTTCATTACAGTAGTAGAAAGGTATTTCACACATTTGAAGTTGTTCAGGCAATGGTCCATGGTTCAGGCATTCCCCCGGTGGAGGCCGTCTGGTCATGGGCTTGAGATCATTTATCTTTCTTTGTGGGGGGGGGGGCTTGTGTTTATTACTCAACGAAATGACTTCCCAAGGTCTTGAGAACTGCATGTAGATTTGGGTTTGAAAAGTGTCACTGTTTGAAAAGGCTGTTTCGTCGTAGCTGCTGCTTCTTGATTGACCCTGGGGTTACACGTACATGTACAAGCGTTTCTGTCTAATTTTCTTTTTTTTTGGTGACAAATGTTGCCGTGCGTGTGAGAATCTCCACAACAGATAACTTCATTCTTCATTACACTAGTTTTCGAGTGTTTTATAATAAGCTGGCGGTACTGGTGATGGACGAGATCCATTGGTCTTTCCGATGAAGTAGTGAAAAATGCGACGCCCGGTCGAAAAATGCGACGCCAGTTAAAAAATGCGACGCCAGTCGAAAAATGCGACGCCCGTCGAAAAATGCGACGCCGGTTGAAAAATGCGACGCCGGATGGCACATATGGAACACCATACGACAACCGCGAATTCAACTCTTCTGCTTTTTTGATACCGCAGAAGCAGATTTTACATAGGTGGCCGGAAACTGGCAATGTGCTTTTCTGTCCTCAATGGGCCGTAAATGGCGTCATGAACAAAGACCGTACAGCGCCGCTGTAGGTTACCACCATTTCCGTTCTGGGGGATTGAAGATGTATAGAAATCAATGTTTAATCATGTTTTCTGTGGACAAATCCCATATGGCAGTATCAGTGTCCCTATGAGGCAGAGAAAATCATCTCAAAAGTCAAAGGAAATACAGTTTTGCAGCTGTCATCCAATAGACACACAAGCTTGCTCAGTCCAAGGAAAACATGATCTTTCATTGTAAAAGATAGGGTGGACTGTAATTATTGGTTTATACGTCTTCATTCCCCAAGAAAGGAAATGGTCGTAACCTGAGGTTCCCGACCCTTGGAAGGTAGAAAAGCAGACGGCCACTTTTTGGCCGCCTATGTAAAATTGCTCCTCAAAACAAGCAAAAACGTAGAATTCACGGTTGCTGTCAAACGTTCGATCCTCATTTCTGCCTGTTCGAAAGGAGAAAAGCAGGTGGCCGCTTTTTGGCCGTCAGCGAACAAAGAAAAAGTAAAATCTGCCTTTTTTGAAGTAGAAAAGCAGAAAAATAGAAAAATGCATAACCAAACAATGCTCGTTCTGCTCTTTGAGGTGGCAAACAAGTAGAAAAGTCGAAACTGCATGTTACCAGAACATAAAATCTGTTTTTCTTTTACTCTGACAGCGGAAAAGCAGATGGTCAATTTTCGTCCTCCATAGCACCGGGTATGCTAAAAAATATTGTGTGAAAAGAAGAATCATTGGCAGCGGTGGGATTCGAACCCACGCCATCGAAATGACTGGTGCCTAAAACCAGCGCCTTAGACCACTCGGCCACGCTACCTCAAAGCGAGGTCGGGGCTTAACAACCTTTATATATAAAAATGCTATTCTGAATTAAAATTCATTGAAAAATTATAAAATAATTAGCATTTTAAAATACTGATGCGGTAAACAGTATTTTTGTATTCATCTTATTCGTATCACCATTGCTTACAACAATTAAGACATTTTCTGAACAAATTGAATTTTGACGTTTCCGCTTTGCAAACGTGCGGATTTACCAAGTCTGGTCACCAACCATAGTAGATAATGGTAATAGCATTTGTATAGACTGGTTCCGAAAAATTAAAAACCACATCAGCTAGCGCCCGCTGAGCTTGCTGCTATTATTATACTGCGTGTGTGCGGTGCATGCTAGTGTACGTGTACATGTACATGTAGTGCCGCGGTGTCACCTCTCGTCGTCCATGTCGTTGTCGTTGCATTGGGCCATTTTGTTGTCCGTTGCGTTAGACTGCTCAGGAATAACAAACAGTCCCGGAAAGCTATGTAAGTTTGATCTGCTCGGATGTCAGCCATGTACCATTCTTCTATTCTGGGTTTATTTTATCAATCTTACTTAAATTTTGAAATTAACTCGCGATGTTCTTGGTCATGTTCTTTGTCTTTTGTTTATGTGTCTACTTTCCGTATCTTTGTGTATTCGCCAGCCGTCAACTAATGTCCTCCTGGACACATCAAACCAGCTTGCGCAGCGTGTGGATGGGAATATTTAATGTCTTAATAGTCAGTAATGCTACTAAAGCCTTGAGTTTAATGTTTCAACTTGGATTTGCAGTTGACCACGTTAGAGGGCAATGCATTCCAGTCCTATATAGTTAATGGAAAGAAACTGTTTCCAAACACCTTGGTCGCGTGCCGAATTTGAAGTCTACGGGATAGCTGAATGCATGGAGGAAGGATAGTTGTAACTGGAAGATTTACTAGCATGACTAGGTTGTTGACTATTTTGTAGTGTATACTAAGTCCTCTGGCTTTTCATCAGATTTCTAGAGGTTCCCAACTGAGGTCTTGAAATATTTTAGTGACTGTCCCTGAAGATCCTGCACTTGTTTTTACAAAATCAAGCTGCTTGTTTCTGTATTCTTTCCAATGCCATGATGTTTCTTTTGGAATGAAGGTCCCTTGCTGCTGCAGCATTCTTAAGGATTGGACAAACCAAGCTTGTTTATACTGTTGCCTTCACCCGAGTTGGGCAACTGCTCAAGTTCCGTGGTTTCATTAATCCAAGTACATGTATGTGTACTTATTCAGCCTTCTGGACAACTGCCACAATTTGTGCATCCCAACTAAGAGTGTTGGATAACTGAACACCCAGATAAGGGTGTATTTCTGCTATTCTTGACCACAGAAGATGTAACGGTTTGGTCTGGGTATCTTGTGGAAATGGTCATAGTAGAGCACTTAATGGTGCCTCACTGGTCTAGGCCTAATCATGGAGCAGCTAGGAAAACTAATGTTACTTCCTACTTCTGATGTTAAAAATGTACATGTAGAAAGTTGTGCATGTAGCCAGGTAGCAGGCACCACCCCTGTGAGTTCCGTACACCAGCCCTATCCTTAAACAGTTAGTCCGAGTAACTTGGACCCTAAAAATCGCCATGTCCAAATGTTAAAAAAGGCGATTTTTAGGGTCCAAGTTACTCGGACTAAGGCAATGTTAGGGAAGGAATTCCATTATATACTGACATTGGACAACACTTGAGGCCCTGTGCAGTGTTGTCTGAAAAAAAATACCGGTAGGCCTACACGTACATGTAGGCCTTGGGCCTAGTCCGAGTAACTTGTGCCCTGCAAATCACCTTTTTTTAACATTTGGACCTGGTCAGCCTACTATCGCCCAACCACGTCCACATATTACTCGGACTACGTAGGGAATTTTCTTGGCTAAAGCTAATTTTTCGGGATATGTCATCATTTCGGGTGGCTGTTATAACATTTTAAGGGAAAATTATTGTTGTCTGTATATGGGACTCTTTCTTGGCTGACATTATTGAATTATAAACATAACAACACATGGGCCTATCAGATCTCAGCATTTTCCCTTTTTTTCATGGAAAGGGTGTATGTGTACTGAGTATAGAAAGTGCATTGCCTTAATAATGGATAAGTACACATGACTTATGATGACATTCTAGACTCCCTGGGTTCATGTTCTAATTTCTAACCTGCTTTTTTCAACCAAAAACTCACAACATTGCTTCTGCATTGTTTTTAATTGAATTTTATTTCTAATTTGAGTCTTACATTGTAGAATATTTCATTTTCCATTTGTGATTCACGGCTCTGGAGGGTTTGTAAGGGAGTAAAGTCCAAACGTGCACTAGAATTCTATCTTGCCCACAAATTAGTTTGAACAAGGCTGATTCTATCCTCAGAACTGTGGGGTTTGCCATATGCCATGCTCCCACAAGCAGGAGCATGGTGGACAAGGAACCCCGTATTAGTTCCAGGGATAGGCTTGCTCACGGTAAAATATCTTGACTTCTACCGCATTTAGAAATTACATATATGTAACCCTGCACTATAAAATGTACTATTCAAGCAGTTATGAATGCTAAGAATGCATGGCTTTTTCTATATTGCCATGTGCCACATTGACATCTTGCTGGCCTTTTCCTTCTGATGGGGTTGGACGTTGTTGGTAGAACCAGTCTGTCCCTGACCCCAGTGAGGTTATTACCCCCACTAAGGTCTTGTGTCTGGCAGTCTGTATAAGCAATCAATTATAATCCCAAGACTCAAGGGGATCAGTGCCAGGAAACCAGCAGGGTCACAAGGGCACAGAGTAGCCACGAGGAAGGAATACCAACCCTTCCTCCATGGAGTAGCTGCAATACACCAATAGTATCCATTACATGGAGCGACCTTCCAGTAATGTCAGCCTGGCTCTTGGGGAAATAAGTGGTCCTTAACGGCAAGCAGGCTTCAGTGATTGTGAACATGACCTGAACACAGCATTGTCCTGTATTCTTCTGTGTCAGAGTTAGTTACTGTGATCATACATGTACTTGGTGATCATTTTAAGACAGATTGGTGGATATTACATTTGCACTGTTAAACCATGATTTTTGGCATGTTTTCTCCTGATGCCAGAACTATTAGGTGTAGCCCATCCCGTCATTTGTGCCTCATATTCCTTTTATTAAGGCTACAAAAGTGCTCTTTATCTACAGAAGGGGGTCTAACAACTAGCTAGATGAAGTTTCAGCTCAATGACTGCTGTATATTCCAAGAAAAACAATACATGTATGTTAGGGTCTTAATTTCGAATCAAAAGTTGCCAAGTCATTTTTGGAATTATGCCTAAATTCAGTGCCTGGGATATGTCCATTGTAATCTCAACCTGCCCATGCGGTTACATGATGTTGGGCCCTGAACCAGCAAATTATAGTACATGTAACTGCATACACGCTTATGTCACGTAAATGTTTGCGTACGCTTCTCCAAATTAAAAATGAACTTCTGACGGCAATTTCCAAAAATGCATCTTAAGACTCATCATATCATATCACGACCCTATCTCATTGTTTCTTGAAAATGAACCTTTCTCATTGTTTCTTGAAAATGACAGCTTTCCTTGATTTTATCAGTCATGTTTGGGATAAATGCAAATGATGGACCGTACCAATATTGGAAAGAAAAGTAAGAGAAAGAGTCAACATGAGGTCAACTGCACACAAAGGCTGTAAAAAGAAAGAATGTGTTCTCTTGATCCATTGAATGTGTCCAAAATATCTGCTGGTTCATTTTATTGCTTACTATTAATCTTTCAGCATGATTAAAACTTCACAACAGGCGAGTGGAAATTTCCAGTAGGCCTACGTGTTGTGGGTCAGAGTGTCAAAGCAGTGGAGTGATGAGTGTGTGGGTGTTTGTTTACCACGAGATGAATTGTTGACCTTTATCGCTCGTGGTTAATTTGGCCTTATGAGTCAGTATGGGCCTTGGCATTGTTGTGGTCTACGTGTGTTTCTTCAGGAAACTAATATTGAATTGATGTTCATATTCTGTGCAGAGTTTGCCTGGTGTTAATGTGTGCACAGACTGGACTGTCTCACACTGACAGATACATTACATAGAAGAGATAGCCCTACATTGACAATGTGTGTTGTAGACATTCAGCTCACTTTTGCGCTTGAGAAGTCAGCGCCTCATCACCAAAATACCCAATTTTGTAAACGTTTGGTCCGTATCACAGAATACCAGTTTGGGGGCAAAGCTTCTTTTCATTGTTGTAATTGCCATGCATACATTGGGTTTATTGACTGGATCAAACACTGTAAGTAGATGTTACGTGCATTATGCGCAGAAATCACTTTGGGAAAAAATGACTGCTATTGTTGTATGGACATGAACAAAAATTACAACTTTGCAAGAAATGGGTTGTATGTTAATTCCTTTTGCGCACAAGGCCTGTTTTCCAATCTGGTGACAGTGATTTTTTTTTTTTTAGAAGCCACTTTGTGATTCGGGGAAATTTTGTGTCATTCCATCTAAATTAAAAAGCTTCATAACAGAAATGCCCGGCTGACATTGCCAGGTGTGATGCAGTTGATGTTTGCCCCAATTTTATTTTCAAACTCCCCTGAAATATTCAAGCACATTCATGACACTTTCATGTCCAGAGGCATGGTTGCATCACACTATTTTCAGTAAACATGTTGAACGAATCTGGGAAACAGGCAAAACAACATCAGCTTTTTGGCCCCAATTAGGTGCAACCAGAATTTATGCAGGTTCCCATATGGAAGCTGCCAGCAGGCTACCACAGCCTTATATCCAATGCCCATATGGACATGGTTATTGATGCGGTATTGCAAATTAAATTAATGAATTTCTGGCAGTGCCTTTAATACTCGAGGTTTGGGATGGGACTGTCTAGTACGTACATGTATGTGGTGTTAGGCTACCTTGCTAAACTGGCCACAGCAATTGTTTGTGACTGATTTGTCCTCCATTGTGTGAATGGTGTTCGTACATTCCGTGTGGCTTTCTACAGAAAAATCGGTTGATTTTGGGGATGTTTCACATGGTATACATGATTGTTGATAATTTGACATAATGGCATATCAAATAATTGACCGAAATGAGGGCCTATCTGTTGCTGTTGATAAAGGCGCCAAAAATCCGTGGAGGATCTGGTCTCACCCCTGATTAAACATCAACCACTGATTGGTATGTTGCGCAAATTAAGCCATTTTAATGTAAATTGTAAACTATTAATATTACGAAGAAAAGATGTTAAGTTATTACACAAAATATACATTTGCAACTTCAGTACACTTGACTCATGATCTAATTGGCAGTGCAGTAATAGAAAAAGATGCAGCATGTTTTGTTTCCAGGCTGGAAATGTTCAGTTTTAAAAGGGCAAGAAATACCCCGTCTCATGTACCTTTTAAAACACAACAAATAAATGACCACAGCGATTCAGTTCTATTTAATGTCTTTTTTTTACTGCAGTTGACATCACCGCTGGGGCTGTTTTGAAGCTCCTTCTCAAATGATCAACCTCACAACTCGAGATATCTACAAAGACATGGTGTACTGGCCGTTAGTGTCCATAGGCAACCTCTACGTGCTTGTCTGTATTTCTCTGAGCTCCCGCCCCAGTCTCGCCCCCTGCTGCTCGCCATGTCCCAGCCGGGTATCTTCCCTCCCGTCAATCTGAACACGCCTACCAAGAAGGTGGAGGAGATGGACGAGGAGGAGGATGAGGAGATGCACATTGTCCCCCTGACGGACGTGATCCTCCTGGAGCCGCCCGTGGAGGTGCAGAGGAAGCTGACCCCGCCCCTCAAGAAGAAGTGGAAGCATGCCATTCTCAAGGCGCAGTCGGCCCAAGATCCCTGGATGCAGTTCCACTTGGAGGACTACCCTACCGAGACGGCTGTCCGCCACCGCTACAGCGCTGGGACCAATAAGTGGGTCATTGACAATGTGAAGGTCAAAGTGGGCAAAGAGGTAGGTGGAAAACCCCATCGTTTTTTAAAGTAATATTGATATTCTATTATACATTGAACTATCATAATACTAATAGCTAGTAGCCGGTAATAGTACTTTCATTTGGTACCAGACTAAGCATATGAGGTGCTTATAAAGACAAAAGAAAGATGAAAAAGAGACAATCAGCTATGATCAGGGAAAAAGATGTTTCTTGTCAGTAGATTTGATTGATAATACACAATCCAAGTTCCAGATTAAATTGAGAAGATTGTTTCGTAGCAGCAAGCAATAGAAAAGAGACTCAGAAACCACAAGGGTATAACCATCAGAGTAATGAAGGGAACGCGAACAGGTCTGGATACACAGAGGAGAGGTGGCCCCTTTGGAATTATAATCTTCCAAGTCCATGAAGTCTAGTCACTTGAGCAGCTGAGCATTGCATTTGTTGACCATCTTTGTGCGTATGAGTAAGGATAAGATGTGATTTTTACGCGTATGAAAAAAAAATGGAACCAAAAAAAGGTGTTCCTGATGGCATCTTTTGAATATTTATTTACAGGCATTTGCTCGTGGTGCTATGAGAGAGTGTTTCAGATTGTAAGTACCTCGTTATTTCATCACAGTCCACACATGGATTTTTCTTACAGTTCAATTGTAGCATTTCTTCTCCATCCAGATGCAGTACTTAAAGCCACAAAATCGCGTTTCAGGTCACTTCTTCATTTGGAAATATAGCTCAGTGGAAAAACACAAAAACCAACTCTTGACAGAAAAATGGTTGAAACAAAAAATATGTGTGCTGTATACAATGTATGTTAAACTTAGTAGCGGAAGTCTGTGTGCAGGCAAATGATATTTGGCATCAAACAGCTGTAGGACATATTTGTATTAATAATCAAATGTCTGGGTACATGTACGTACTTATCATAGTGCTTCTGCAATTTAGGCAGAAACAAATTTACGTCCATGTTTGTTATATTCTTGGTGTATTGGACATTTTCATAGAACTGTCAAAGTATGTGTATTCCGGTTTCCAAACACAAGTTTCTCGTTTCAACTTGTTTCTCCTCCTGCTCTGACAGGAAGAAGCTGTCTAACTTCACGCGACAACGGAGGCACGACTGGAAGCATGCTGGAAACTTTGTTGCCAAGCGGTACATGGAGACCGTCGACCGGGAGATATACTTCCAAGACGTGCGTCTGCAGATGGACGCCAAGATATGGGGGGAAGAGTTCAGTCGTCACAACCCTCCCAAGAAGGTAGAGTTTTTAGACCAGCCGTAAAAATAACCACATTCTAGTCAGAGTTTCCAAACAGAAGTGATACAAAGCACAACACGCTCAATTTCCAAAATATCAGGACTAGAGGAGATTTAAACTTGATGAGAGGTTGACAGGGTAGAATTATCACGGTGTTTGTGTCTTCTGCTTATGCGAGATACTGAAGACAGGAAAGAAGGTCAAGGGGTGTTAAGACTTGCATGAGTCATTGACTGCATGAGCTGTTCTTCAGGAACCCTCCTAAAAGGAAAGTGTTTTGGTACTAATTAGCCCCTTGGAATCCTGCTGTGTTGATTGCTAGTACATACATGTACATGTATGAAACCCAGATGGTTGGAATTGTGGATAATGGTGTATGCGTGCATGCAAATCCTGCAAAATGTACATTTCCTGTAGGGTCTGTTGTGATGAATCCTTGGAAATCCAGTTGAAAACAAATCAGAGTAAAACAAAAGATCAAGGGAATGATATGGCAATTGCAGAAGATTTGCCTAACAACAAGTATGGTGGATTTCCACCGAAATCCACTGTAAGTATTACGGTTATGATACTAATTAGCCCCTGAGAATCCTGCCCTACATGTACATGTACATGTATGTTGATTGCTGATAGGCCTACATGTGACACCTTCAAAATAGGGAGAAGAAATTGATGCATCAAGAAGCCAGATGGTTGGAATCGTTGGTAATTGTGTTTGCCTGCAATGCAAATCATGCATAATGTACATTTCCTGTATATTTCCTATAGGTTCTATTTTAATGAATAATTTAAAGTCTTGTTTTAAAAAAGAATAAAAAGAGAAACAAGGCATGATAGAAAAATAATCAAGGGAGTGATTTGGCAATTGCAGATTTGCCAAATACAAAAAGCACAGTGGATTTCCACGTACGTAATAATGTTACCAGTGATCCATGCATGTTGTATACATGTTTTTCATGTACAATTTGGTTCAAAATGTAGTTGCCTGTTGATGCTGTTTACATAGAAAAATCCAGCCCTTTGTGAAAGCCTCCATGATGAAATTCAATAGGCTAGCCGTTTTTGTTGGCCGCATGTGGCCTGACACACACTGGCATATGGCCATGGGTGGGGTATTGAGTTGTCCACAGGCCAAGTACCAGCCTTTGTGATAGGCATTTTACACTCACTGCCACTGTATTACATGTAAGTGTAGTTTAAAATGTACGTACAGTGTGTCACCCAAGCGTACGTATGGGTGTACATCCAGACGAAAACACATGTAGGTCCGATGTCCCTCCCCTCTACAAAACATGGATAAGTTTTTGTACTTTAAAACATCTTATTACAAATTAATTACATCACTGTAATCTTACTACAGTTTTCTTGCTGCCCTGGGAAAAGGCTATTAAATCCCCAGGGTCTGTCTCCTCCTGCTCAACTCAATCTGCTTTCCCTCATAATAACAAGCACGGTTTGAAGCATGCTGTAGACCTTCCACATACGTCATAGCATAAATTATTAATAGTTCGATGTAAATTTGCCCTGCCAGTCGGCACAGTATTGGCATATTAATTAAATTTTGCATAGATATAGAACGAGACACTCTACGTACTAATAATTCAGATGTTTTGAAAACTTGGATAAGTTGTAACGTTGTAACCACTTGAGGGACACTTATTTGTAATTAAATGCAAAGTAAAGTAAAATGATATTCAAGTTACATTTGTGCTCAAATCGGTCTATTTGAAGTTTCTTGGAAAATTATGTAAATAAGGTGAAGATCATGGAGATCCTTACCATTTTTTAGTAAGCAAAAAAGACATGTCGGAGAAAGACATCAGTGGTCATACAGAACCAGGATGCAGTAAACCACTTCTTATGCATTTCAATCATTTTGGTTTTGTGCCCTTATACTATGTAGGGCAGATTTTTTGTCCTCACTTGTTTAAATGAAAGAACTCCCTGTTTCTTTATTGAACAAAAAAATGTTTTCTTGCATGTAAACAGCTTTGAGGAAAAGGTCAGATGTCAGGAAGTCATGTTTCATTTGTCCGATATTAATTCAATCATTCCATTAGGTTGATATCGTTCAGATGTGCGTGCTGGAATTCAAGAACCGTCCTGGCTGCCCGCTGTTTCACCTGGAGAATTTCATTGAGGGCAACTACATCAAGTACAACTCCAACTCGGGCTATGTCAGTGACGAGAAACTCCGACTCACACCACAGGTCAGTCAGGTTTTGTCATAAGCTGTAATGTTTTTCCGTAGAGGCAAGATATGAAAATGCTGACCACACTTGTAGAAAGGAACAAGAAAGATTTCAAAGCAAAACCTAAATTAGATGTACGATCAACAAAGATGAACCTTATAAGATAGCAATTAACTGAATTATCCCCTGGGACATGGTTATTTTAATATCAAAAGTAAAAGACTTATATTTGGTGGGCCGTCTGAAGAAGTACAGTATTCGGGGAGATTTCAGACCTGGTGAAAAATTCTCAGTTGATATAGAGACCGGAGGTCTGTGTGTGTAGACGATGGCATAAATTAAAATGTAGTAATATGCAGTCATATCAGTGGTTTTGCAGATTTTTGATTAGCCTTCATTTTTTCTTTATTTTTGTTCCACAGGCATTCAGTCACTTCACGTTTGAGAGATCCGGACACAAGTTGATTGTTGTTGACATTCAGGGTAAGTGTAGTCATGGAGGTGACAGACATCCATTGTCAGCTTCCGACCCTTGTCAAAGCTCACGTGCCATGTGTTTGTTAATCAGCAGACAGGCAGTTACTCTGTACTCTGCTGCACGCGTCATAACAGCACTGACTTACTTTTCTTCCAACCAGGTACTTTTCTTGGGAGGGGGTGGTGAAATGTTGTTTAGGAATGGGCTGATCACTTGTTTGGAGAAGCTTCTTAAGTGCAGAATCATTTGATGTTAATTTTTTGTTTTTATCAATAGGAGTTGGAGACTTGTACACAGATCCTCAGATCCACACAGCCACTGGGACGGAGTACAATGAGGGGAACCTGGGCTCCCGTGGCATGGCGCTCTTCTTTGCTTCACATGCCTGCAACGAGATCTGCAGGGGACTTAGTCTGACACCATTCGACCTCCATCCCAGTGAGATTGCTGACCACGAGAAGCTGGTCACAAGACAGGTGAGGAAGTCAAAGCACACCAAGTTATTATTTTTTTTTCAATAAATCGAAGATCTAACATTCTAAAGACGTCGCATCAAGTAATCAACAGCCATACAAGGTTGATGTGCCATATACTTGAAGTATAAACTTGGATGGTTATGCTGTAATCATAATCTGTTCCAGCTCACAACTGGGAGTTTAAAGTATGTTATATTGTCACATGACTATCCCCCAGGTTTTCTGACGTCAAAGTTTTTGGACATTAACATCCTAACATAATTCAATTGTCATTTGCCAGTAAATAGCAACATTCGTTCCTTCTCCAAGACTAGAGTGTAGATTTGATCTTCAGATTCAAGAGTGCATGTCACTTACACAACTTCCATATAGTAGTGGTGAGTTGTAAACTTCATTACTGAAGGTCAACAAGTTTGGTTTCTACTTGACGATGGAGCTGTTTTTCGTGTGTCAGATTTGGCATCATTTTTCTTGGTTGTCTCCACAGCGGAGGGCATCCACACATGTCCGAGGCACCGAAAACAACGTCTTGCGGCCTCGTCACCGTCCCTCCATCTCGCCCATGGACGTGACCAAGTTTGTCATCCTGGAGCGTTCCATCTCGGAGTGCTCCAACGAGTCCACCTCCCCAGATGCCTCCCCGGCCGTGCTGTGCGAGAGCCCCTCCTCCCCGGAGGATGTCAGCATGTCCCCCAGGGACAGCCTGGTCACCAAGAATCACTTCTTCCCCTCAGGGCGACGGAGGGCCGTGTCTGACGAGGACTCCCCGTGTGTGAGGTTTAGGGCGGAGTCCGACAGTGATACACTCACTAGGGTGAGTCAAACAATACAAGGAGAGTTGAGTCCTTTTGTTGCCCCCTTAGGATCAGTGCATCTTCCAGTTTATTTCTGAAAGGTCCTCACGGGACTACTTTATGGAAGGTGTTTAAGATTTCTGAAGAATCATTGAATTGAAGGAAAAACAACTCTGAAACCATTTAATTTGTCAAGTGTTTTCTCCTTGGAGCTGCACTTAAAGCCGTTTCTTAAGTTTTTAACTTTTTTTATTACATCGTTTTTAGTCTTGTGAACAGGATCACAAAGTAGCATTTTTGCAAAAGAAGAAACACAGAACATACCTCAGAATATTCTCCTTTCTTTGATACTTGCGCGAGACTTTTTTTTTTTTACAAATTGTCTAAAGCATTGTGTGGAATTATCACTTAAAGTACACAAAACATAATTGTTTACAAAACATTGGTTTGTATGGGAAAGGTAACTGTATCTGGTGTTTCTCTAATTTTGTTTGGATTTGTTGTAGGAGAATGAAAGAGCTGCCAAGAAAGTGAGTTAATTGTGGTACACCTGTATCTTTGGTTAACCTGTGCTGTCAATGATGATCATTTCAACTTGAGTACATTCTCTCCAAAATAATGCTCAGTACTCAGGGTTTGGGTATGCATTCACCATTAAGTTCTGTTGCCCCGCGTGGGTGGGTGAGCAAGAAATACCAGCTTGGATAGTGCTCAGGTCAACTAACATGTCTTGCAGGGTAGTGTGTGACTGGTCTGAGTTGTTGACGTAGTTGTTTCACTTGTCCAGCTCGTGTTACCTGATAGAAATTAACCAGAGGGCGTCAACTGTGATCTCTGTGTCTGTGAAAGCCACGCAGACGCATCTGATCAGCCACTGTTTGTCATAGAAATGGAACTTCAGACTTCGTAAAGTATTAAAAATGTTAATGTGAAATGCGAAATTTAAAACTGTAGCTTTTTTTTTGGCCCGTCAGTTTTCAAAAGCCTGTAACAAGCGTTACCAGTCTGCGACAAATGACTTGAGTTTTGCAAAGTTGTTCCCGTCCCTTTACATAGTAGTAGAAGATTTGTGCATGGTCTTGCGATGCATACTGCAGTGAGGGAGGTTGTGATCTGTAGATCGTTCTTGTCTAGTGGCTATTGCAGATTTGGAGTTAATGGGTATCACCAACACTGTTGTGTGGGCACATTTTTTTAACGACATGGTGCGTAGCAGGTCTGGGCATGTGGAGAGCAACTCAAAGCTCTTCACATGTGCTGTGCATCCAATCAGTGTTTACTTGAATGTGCACAAGAGTGTGGTTGTTTGTTTGACTGTCAGTTTGTGGTGGAGGATTTAGGATTGTAACCCCAAATTCTGCCTTTTCATCAAGTGTAGGGGTATTTTCGCACAGGCTAACACATAAAAACTCTGCCAAGGGCTCACTTTCCAACATTTCAGACTTTTCTGCTTATCTTTTTTTTTTAAACTGAAGTGCAATGTCATCCAGGGAAGCTTGGAGGATCATGTCTGGCATGAAGGATTCATCACTGCTCAGTTACATGTTTAAAGCATTATATCTGTTGCTAATTTGGCAAAGATGCTTTACATATAATCACCATCCGTACCTGTGGCCATAAATACTTCATCCAAAGCAGTGTAAAGAAAGTTACGTTCAGTAAATCACCTCCACCAAAATTGATATTTTCCCCTGCGCAATGTTCTGTGTCATGCTTTTTCTTTGGTGTATGATAATCTCGGTCAAACAAGGTAAAGCTCTCTTCATTCTCACCTGATTGATGTTGTCAAGAGTTCTGGGTCGACAACATTGCTTTCTCTTTTTAAAACTCACGGCTTTCACAAGAAATTCTGCTTTCTCAATTTCTCTCTCATTTTTTCACTCCTCACGTGACAAGTTTACAGGGGACAGTATTGTAACAAATGCACAGTTTGTTCTGATTCTAAAGGGTATTTGAATACGGACGATTCGCAATAAGTGCGCCTCCGAGAGTTTGCAACGTGTTGGCCAATCACAGTGCGCGAAATCTATCTACCCAAATGCGCGGAAAGGGTCGACAGATTTTGCGTGTTGTGACTGGCCAACACGTAAACTTGTGGAAGCACACTATTGTGAATCCACCATATTGAAACCTTTAGTTAGTAACTTCTGCAGGTGACATTGGCGTATACGTATATACATGTATGCCAAACTACTGCACTGAATAAGCAAAAACCCAGACAAACTGTGGTGCTCGTTTAAATGTACAGGTGAACTGTAGATCGAAGTTTTGTATATGTACGTCTAACAAAGCATGCATGGAATATTTGTGGTGACCTCCGCAATTTGTGCACAGTTGCATTTTCAGTAGCCTAGAACACAGCGAGGTACTCGTAGCAATAGCCGTGCATCTGTGTTGATGATGCTCTTGTGACAAATTTTGCGTTTGAACATTTAATCACAAGAGAAGTAGTGGACTTACTGGTTGTTTTATTTTCATTGTCTTTTCAAGCGTTTATCCCTTTTAAACACTAATAATCCTCTCTGAAGCTGCACCTTAAGTTTCCTTCCAGAACTTGCACGTACATGCCACTTTATCTGTACAGCGCTCCTATCTTTCAGCTTTTCAACTCAAAAAAGAATGAAACCTGGAACTTGACTCTCCCCCCCCGTGCATTTTAGGAGGAGGAGCGCAAGGCCATGATGATGAACAAGACCCACAAACCCTCCTCGGTCAATGTGGAGATGGCCATGCGGGCAAGACTCAACATGGAGCGCAAGACTGGAGGCTCCACCCTCGGCCAGGTAGGAGTGTTGATAGGAGTGGAGAGTCGCCGAAGGTTCGCTTGGTTGCGTGCAGCCCGTATCATTCAACATCTTCAAACTTTTCTTTTCATTCCGTGTCATTTTCCCGGCACGTTGTGCCTCGTCATATCATCGGAGAATGTGTCAAGTTGTGTGAGGTACAGGATCTGAAGGCTAGCTGTGCAAAATACGCTGTACTGAAGCAAACAGTCTGACATGGCACAAACTAACCAAGCACGCGATATTGTGATATGACAAAAGTAAGCTTTGAGGGACGGTTGATTATGATCACTTAAGGCCGGTTTATACCCGCTTTACACAGCGCGAAGGTCTGTTTTGAGGTGTCTGCAGTGTGTGAAGGAAGGTGCAGTGTGTAATGAAAATTTACGCGGTTTATGAAAATAGTGGATAGTGGGTATGCTTATGTATGCCAAAAGAGGAAAGTATTAACGTCAAATTGGGCGTTCACATTACGCCCTGCATGTGTGCAAACGCAGCGAGTGTGAACCAGCCCTTACAGAGCTTGCAAACTATTACATGGATTTTGCAGGTGTGGGGATAAACTGGAGAATTAAACCCTAGTTTTCAAATAAACTGAAACATGTTCCTCTGCATATAAAAGCAAATGTCTTCTAATTGTGTCCCGCGAAACATAATGGCTTGACCTGCATTAACCCTAACCCCCCCAGGGGTTGCTGGCCCTAACCTTCCCCATCCAAACAAAGTTAAACACCCATATGGGACTTTGTGCACAGAGGCTGTTGGACTTTGTTTTTCTGAGACATGCCAAACCCAATGCAAAAGCCAGCTGTTATGGGCCTACCAGACCTATCCCCACAGAATAAAGCACTTTACTACTGTTTAATTCTGTGTGATTGGGGAAGGTTAGGTTAATAGTCATATTTACTAAAGTGTCCAAACTGTTAAAGCGCACAACATCCAATAGAATAACATTTACTGCAGGGCTCTCTGAGAGGATGAGACAGATTTTTGGCAGATTTATAGCTACATGTTTTACAGTGCCAGCCAGGGAGGAGGTGGGTGGGAGGGGAACATATCCTGCCCCTGAAGCTACATTGGCAAATTGTTTAAGAATTTAAAGTGCCTACTCTTCATAAATGGCACTGCGACTTTCCGGGATGGGGGATCAAGGAGCACTTTTTTGTTGACGGATGGAAATGATGGGGGAAAAATGCCATTTTGCCCGTGTGGACCTAAACCTGCATACAACAACAAAGTTTCACAAACACAGTACACCTGTAAACAGTCGTTCTTCTCTGATTTCAAGTTGTGCACTTACCAACATGTCTCCTTCTTTCTCGTTCCAGGTCCACTTGGACTTGGCCAAGTACCACGAGATTGGACGTTTTGTTGACAACCTGGAAGAGCGTAACATGCAGGCAGCCTTCTACCACCTCCAGCAGGCATCCAACTGTGGAGTCATGGAGGCTATTCTAGCTCTGGCTAGGATCTACCTCAATCTACCTCATGACATCCTAGAAGCTGTCGTCATTGATGTAAGTAGATGATGTAAAAAGTAGAACCAGTGTCCTACAATAGAAACAAATGGGTATCTGTCAACTCTTCTCAGAATTGAGCTAATTTGCTTGGAGTGACTGCCATTTCAGAGATTGACGAGTATTACATTTCCCATCGGCCTTTATGTACTATTTGTGTGATGTGTTTTACCAGACCATCATTTGTAATAAAAATTTTACAGTTAATGACATTTCTTGTAATTTTTCAGTTATTGATGGTTACGCTGATTTTTGTGTATTTGTGTTTTAAAGTTAGTGTTTTTCAAAATGCTGTAAATTAGAAATCACTGCAATGGTTTTCAGTAAGTATACTTTGGTGTGAGCACATCCTAAATGAAACAGTGTTTGGAACTGGCCAAAATCTCTGGTTCAGAGCCACTCTGACCCCTAACCTCATAACCATGCAATTCCTGACCTACTTATGATGCAGGAGAGTGAAGAGAACATCAACGATGGGATGGACTTGATGGAGCAGGCAGCAGAGGCCGGGGACAGACCTTCCATGATCCACTTAGCCAAGGCTTACGAGACTGGAACCAACCTGGGTACTAACAGGTAGGCCCCTACTCAAAGTCCAGTCCGGTACAGCTAGTTCTAGCTTTGCCTTATTAATATCTCACATGCCGATTTGAGGTAGGAGAATGGCCAGTGCACTGTTGTCCGTGTGACCTCTGATGAAGGGGTCTGTTAATTTTAATGTCCCGCATGCGCAAGTAAACATTGTCTCCCACATGTACTTCAGAATTATGCACCAAGTCGGGTAGGTAATATTTGCTAGGTGAATTTCAAATGCTGTTAGACCCCTTTTTGATGTCACCTGTCTCCGTTTTTGTGTGTGACATGAGGTTAGGTCTTCAGTCTGTTTTGTTTTACCTACCATCTGGAGAGAGCCCTTCCACCAGCAGCTGTGAGCTTTAAAAGATCAGGAGTAATGTGGTTCTAGACATGATGGGAAGTTTTTCCATCCAAGTCAGGATAAGGCAGATGTATAATAATTATTTAATGAAAGGAACTTTTTTTAGTGTTTCCTCTGCCCAGCATTTACCATATTTCACCAAACTATGAAAACACATTGATAAAATAAAGCTTACCAAGAAGAGCAGTAAGGCTCAGTTTGAAATTTATGTCACAAGCTAGATCCAGGTCTTCGGTGGTTGTGAGTATCCTGGGCAGGTGTGGACAACCGACGCAGCAGTATTTCGTGAAGTTCCAAACCTCACTTGCTGCGAGGACATGGATGATCAATTAGATGTCTTGATTGGCTGGCTCTGCCTTCCCCTTTTAGAGAGATCATTTGGACCGAGGCCATCCACTGGTATCAGCAGGCCATCAGCACATCCCAGGAGGATGAAGATGGGGGCTTCGACTGCCTAAATGAGGACCCCAACTACCAGCTCTTGGTCAGGCAAGCAGACCTGTACAGGAAAGGCGGGTACGGACTGGACAAGAACCCTCGCAAAGCAGGTGGGTGGAGAGAGTCTTCAGCGACTTCGGCACAAATAATCCAGAGCCGGTGGTTTCTACAGGGCCCACCTTAAGCTTGTCAGGTTCTTCTGTGAGGCTCCCAAATGGCATTTGTCCACAGTGCTTGTGAAATTATGCCATCAGATGGCAAAAAAGTGTTGAAACTTTTCAGTCCCCAAATATCTTCCTGAGGTAACCAGTTGATAATGCCAAGAGTAATTTCATTCATTTCTTTTTAATTCATTGTTTCTGATGGTATCAAGTACAAGTTGTTACTGTTTTTTCACAGTTTGCATGATTCCGCTCCCCAATATTGTGTCAACTTATTAACTATGTACAACCCACCTAGGCGTTTAAGATCTTCCGATTCCTTTTTGCCTTCTTTTCCTCATACGCACAATTCATGGGGTGTTAGCTTTTTCTACAACGGGGGTCCCCATCTTTGGACTGAACTACCGTTTTATATCCGTTCCAGCCCCTCAATCTCAGAGTTCAAAGTTGCCTTGAAATCCCACTTCTTCGTTAACAGTTACTAGATCTGAATCGTTTTTGTTTTTCTTGATTGTACTACGCCATGAGCATCTCTCGAGGCGGATACCAGCGCATTATAAATATTGATTATATTTGTTATTATCGTTATGTAATCTGTGAGCATGTAAAATTTTCCGTCTTATGTGACAAACTGATTGAATTGAATGTGTCTGTGGATGAGTGGATTGGATAGTGACAGTTGACAGAAGGGATTGTTGTATTCATCGCAGGTGACTTGTACAATGAGGCCGCAGAGGGAGCCATGGCAGCCATGAAAGGTAGACTGGCCAACAAGTACTACATGGTGGCAGAGGAGTGCTACGGTGAAATGGAGGAAGACGAGGAGGAAGAGGAAGAAGGTGATTAGGATGGAAGCCAGTCTAACCTGATGGGATGGTAAGACTGGCCAACAGGTCTGTCACCCAGTGGCCTGGAGTTGCCTTTGAGAATTGTAAGAAAATGGGGGAAAATTATGGACTGGTGTACACCTCTAACCCTACAAAAGGCAGACTAGTGTGAGGGCTTCACGCTGTCTGGGTAATGTGCATGTATATGTATATGCCTCATAGTAAGATTTAACCTCGTCGAGTTGTATTACACTGATCATACAGCGGGTTGAAGACGCCACTGGGAATTGGAAGAAAATTGGAGAAAGTAATGAACTGGTAAACAGCTCTATAAAAGTTAGACTAGTAAAATATGGGGTGCATGCCGTCTAGGTATATGTGCATGTATATGCCTAGAAGTAGGTTTTAACCTCGTAGAGGTGTATTACAATAATACTGTGTTAACTACGTTCCATCTCCATTTTAGGCTATGCTGGGTGTGGCCATACTTGGACAGGGGCGTGTGTTTTATTTGCTTTTACCATTCTGAATCCAACTCGTTGCTGAACATCCAGAATAGGCATCAATACCACTTTTTCGTCGCTGTTCTAGAACGGCAACGGCAAATTGAGTTGTAGCTTGTGCTTTCTTTGGGCACACACCTTCCAGAATGTTGGGTTTATTTTGACTGAGATTTTGCATGAGGTCAAATGTTATTGAGCCAGTGATTTAGCATTGTAATCAGTTATATAATGCTGCAATTCAGTCCAGTCACAAACCCTGGCAAAAAGAGATTTAGCCATGATCAAGACACCCCTTTTCAAGAAAAAGATGTTCCGTCAGTTTTCATCTGGGACTAGATCTGCTTCTATCCGCTCCGAGGTGAAATGCACCCCTTATTGGCGAAAGAAAGACAGGTGGTTAGAGCAGGTTCCTGCAAGCGTTCTGCGTGTCCGCCAAGACCATACATGCTGGAATAAATTAGTTACGCGTACTCGGTGTGCTCCACGTCAAACACCGATATACTTGCGCGCCTCATGGCATGCCTATGCAGTGGTCACCCCAAAAATACGCCCTCTTTTGTTCCACTCGGGGTGGATAGCGGGATTATCAGTGCCAGTCTTATAGACTTGTTGTAAACTATATTGAAGTTGGGAATATTCAGGACTTCCAGGGTTTTAATCTACCTCCGTGAACAGCACATCTGTGCCTATACCTGCATAGACTGCTTACGCGACTACCATGAGAAACCTGCCAGCAGGTTGGACAGTATTATCATTCATTCTAAGGTATGCAGCTGATTTCACAAAGTTCATCATATCATGACACCTGACCTATATCCTTTGACTTTTAACGGAGGTGATTTTGCAGGTGTACCCTTATGCTCATTGGAAGACTCCACAGAGCGTATGGGTTTGTGCACATGCCTGTGACAATTCTACTCGTGTGTGCACTTGTGCCCTGCACTGGAGTGCTAGTCCACACTCACAGAGCACATTGCCACATGGCGTCCAAAACCTGGCAACAGGTCAGAAGAGTATTGCGTGTGCATTTTAACCATAGAGCTTGGAGTCAATCAGTCCATGCATTTCTTTTGGAGGGATTCTGGGACTGCTAATCCACCAGCTCCAGCACTCATGCTTTGAGAGTGTTGGGTACTAGGGAACTGTAAGAGGTTTTTTGAGATGGAGCCAACAGAATTATGCAGTGCGTTTACTCATCTGGTTGTATGATTGGTGCACGTTGGCTGTTTGTGAAATTGGCTGTATGCAGGATGCAGTATCTGAGATATATGTACCCAACCAAGTGTAGAAGACTTACACCTGTCAGATGTACACTTGAATCTGTACAATACATGTAGATAGTACTAGAAACAAACATGCAGGGCATTATAAACAATACGTCTCTTCACCTTTCAAATCTCTGTAAATAAGCGAGTGAAACTATTTCTGCATTACCCCTGGTATGGTAACCTTGTAAATATGACTTTTTTTCCCCCAATCTTGTCCTACCAGTTATTGCCCGTCAACTTAGCATGAGCTTTGTTTGTTTCTTGTTCAGTCTGCCTACTTTTTTTGTAGCATTCTGTTACATGGGTAATCAGTTCTCAGTTTGGAAGACTTAAGATCAGTCAAATCATTTTAAGGTAATTGTGAGATTCAACATCTACCTTAACCAATGTAACATCTAACCGTCTAACATTAAACATCTAACTCTGTCAAATTAATCAAGATTGTTTAACTATTTTTCAACTCAATGTGCTGCTTTACAGCTCAGTCAAAAATAATGTGAATATTTTCTTTTTCAAAGACTGTATATTACTGCTAAATTTATCATTCCAGGCAAAATTCTTAGTAATTCAACTCTGATTTGTATTTCCCATCTTTTTCACATTTGCACTTTGTCATATGAGAGTAGAGTTAATTTTTGAATAATATTCTATATTGCTATATATTCAATATAGCACTTACAAAATGAATATATTTGATACTAGTGGCAAGACTGATTTTAAATGAATTGTACATGTAGTTGAGAATTTGCTGCTGGGAATGGTTTTCTTTCTTTTCTTTTGCTTCGGATATTTCTTGGAATTGTATCTGCTTCTTTTTGTGTCATAAATATTAATTTTTTGTTCGAAAAACATCTCAAAATTTTGTGTTCTTTCCCTATAACATTCATATTAATTGTAAAGTAGCAAGTGAAAGTGCCAAGGTGTAGTTTTCTTTTCTTTTTTTTAAATATTATTAGCACTTAGGAATAAAGAAGCATTTTACTCAATGTAAGCAACCACTTATTCAGCTTGGAAAACCAGATGCCATTTTGGGTGAGGGAAAATCCTCCAGTGGATTAACTGATTAACAAAAATCCATCTAATGGAGAAATTAGTTTGTTGTACAAATATTTTCGCAATTTGTTTTAAATTTAGCTTGCATAGAAATAGTGAAAGATTAAGAAGACAGGTGATGCTCTGTCTAGAAGATATTGTATCGATGGGAATTCTAGTTACTCATTAAGATTCTTCAATTTGAATTGGAAAAGATGTGCCATATTGTAAGTATACAGTTGTGCTCAAAAGTATTCTTACCCTCTGGAAAAGAACATACTTTTCTAACTTCTTCCTTTGTAAAAGCTATTATGTTGACACTTCCACTATATCTTTTGTCTGTTTGTTGCAATATCCATTTGTGTATTGGCTAAACTTCATTTTGGTAATAATAGATGCGGCCTGGGTTTTGTTTTTGCTCCTGTTCAAAAGTACTCATACCCCAGGTTTACATAATCCATTGTCTTTTCCTAATAGTCAATAGTATAGCCTTTGTTGTTGATGACTACCTCAAGATGGTTCCTATGAGTGTCCACAAGCTTTCTGCATGTCTCCTGTGAGATGTTGGTCCACTCTTCCTTGGTGAAAGCCTCCAGCTGGGTCAGGTTGGATGGTCTCCTGGCCATCACTCCAGTCTTCGGCTCCCTCTACAGATTCTCTATTGGATTTAGGTCGGGACTTTGACTTGGCCATTCCAGGACATGGATACCACTGTCCTTGAACCACTGCTTTACTACTTTGGTGGTGTGCTTGGGGGTCATAATTTGTCCTGCTGGTACGTCCAATCAGGTCCAAGGTGGAATTTCTCAGCAGATGCTTTACTTTGTCGTCCAGGATCATGATAGAATCCTCCTTTTTTATGGTGCCCGTATCTTACTCCATAGCATTATGTTGTCACCGCTGTGCTTGACGGTTGGGACTGTGTTCTTCGGCTTGGATGCTTCTCCTTGCTTCCTCCAGGCGTAGGTAATATCCATGTGGCCTTGGTTGTGATCTGTGGGTTGTTGTTGGCCTCCCGGCAGATTTCTCTGGCAAGTCTGGGAGATACTTTGCACTTCCTGCCACGCCCATTGAGGTTTTTATTACTGTGTTGAGCCTCTTATGCTTCCAGGTGATACTCTGAACTGTTGCAACAGGGATGTCATATTGCTTGGAAATTGCCTGGTTAGCCTTTGCCTTCTTTATTGGCATTCACAGCACACTGGCTGCGTCTGGAGGAAGCAAGTAGAAGCGTACAAGCTGAAGAACACAGTCCCCACCATCAAGCATGGTGGTGGCAACATAATGCTATGGGGTTGCTTTTCTGCTGGTGGCACCGGGAACCTCATTAAGACGCAGGGCATCACGAAAAAGGAGGATTATATCAAGATCCTGGATGACAAAGTGAAAGCGTCTGCTGAGAAATTCCAGTTTGGACCTGATTGGACGTACCACCAGGACAATGACCCCAAGCACACCATCAAAGTAGTTAAGCAGTGGTTCAAGGACAGTGGTATCCATGTACTAGGATAGCCAAGTCAAAGTCCTGACCTAAATCCAATAGAGAATCTGTGGAGGGAGCCAAAGACTGGAGTGATGGCCAGGAGACCATCCAACCTGACCCAGCTAGAGGCTTTCACCAAGGAAGAGTGGACCAACATCCCACAGGAGACACGCAGAAAGCTTGTGGACACTCATAGGAACCATCTCGAGGTAGTCATCAACAACAAAGGCTACGCTATTGACTATTAACAAAAGACAATGGACTATGTAAACCAGGGGTATGAATATTTTTGAACAGGGGCAAAAAAAGAAACCCGGGCCGTATCTATTATTATGCAAATGAAGTTTAGCCAATACACACGTGGGTTTGTGTATTGGGACAAAAGATATAGTGGAAGTACCAACATAATACCTTTTACAAAGGAAGAAGTTAGAAAAGTATATTATTTTCCAAAGGGTATGAATACTTTTGAGCACAACTGTATGTTGTTAAACACTTACAGCCATAAAGTAATTATATTGTCAATATTAATGAACTTTTTGCTCGTGTGAGACAGCGGCAGTTGGTTATTTTATTAGCACCGTGTGACAGTAACAGATATCCTGGGCAATAGGTCAGCACCAGTCACTGAACTATCCACTAAAAAAGTTTGGTTATAGTGAATAATCATTCTAACTTTTTTCGTACCCTTGCGTTGTGTACTTTAATAAGGGAATGTGCTTGGCTGGTCTTAAACGTGCGTAAGACCAGTAGGAGAATGGACGCGACTAATGCCCGAACTACAGGCGAGGGCATTCAGTCTCCTGAACCGGTCATAAACGTCAGTTTAACACCCGCCAAACACATTTATTTCTATTCATAAATACCTTTTTTAGTGAGAGCGTCGAAAGAAGTCAATACACAATACAATATAATGATGGATTTCCAACGATTCTGCTCTAGAATTTTACTTTCTTCCAAACATCCCCGTCCATTTTATGTATAGCCCTTTTACAAGTTGTCCAATAGAATCTTCTTGTACGGACATGGCGAGCCACGTACACAGAGACTCTTGACCGATCAGAATCGACTGAACTGTCTCGTGTCCAGGTGCCAGCGCGTGGTTTACGCAGCGGGCATTATCTAAGGTCAAACGGTCAACTTGCACGGTGTTGAACTGGGAGACTTAGATGCTCATGAATGATCCATACAAAGTAGATGGTTTCGCATGCATTTCATAAACAATGTATTAAACAGATCAGAGTCAAGCTTTGTTGATTGTGAAATTTAATTGCATGTCTGTGATGTGAACATTGCCGCTTATGTATTATTTATGTACATGTACTTCGGTCCTGTTCTTGTAACTTCACTCTTGTGTGTCAGTTTAACTGCCAAGCATTTGCATTTTCGATATTTGACATTTTTTTCTGTTCTTTCTTTAACCAAACGAGCTCGAAAAATATATTCTGGTTTTCCGTAGATGTTAATAAAACAGTGAAATTGCCAGTGATAATTCCCATTTTTATTGTCAAATTTGCCGCCATTTATTTTAACATTTTAATTTGTTTAAACATGACGAAATAAGCAATCTGCAGTAAACAGTGAACGTAATTTTACTCTTTTAATTCCAGTCATTGGACGGAAAGATAGTTTTGTTCAATTTGCATTTTAGTCGTAAACTTACGCAATTATGTGCATACAGTCGACCTTGGAAATAAAAATAAAATACATATGCCTAATTGCATGGTGTGTATATGGTTACATCCAAAGAGTTCGTTTACGTTGGACTTTGTATAATTGCTGAGAAAGTCATTAAAAAGCTTTTTGCTTTTAGTGTGCAGTTGCAAAGTAGGCGTATTGTTTTGTTTCTTTGTGGAGTGTTTCTCAATTGGTAGGACTACGCAAAAATTACCCATCAAAATACCCTACATTAAACTGTTTCGTTTTTAATTGATCATGGTCGCGTCTTAAGTTTGATTTCTTTTCCATTTACCGATTCCAGTTCTGACAATTTTTAATTATCATTCGTGTTTTAGCTTCCATGATAGATAACGTTCAAGTCTTGTGGATCGTGTGTGCTACATTTTTTTTTTTTTTTTTTTTGCTTGATTACGGTGAGTTGAGAACAGGAGACGCAGTGAAATATCTTAATTAAGCAACCATATCCTTTATCTTTTCACATTTGGATCGGAATAGGTTGACCAGCGCTTGTTCGGCGGGATCCAGTGCATTGGGTTGGCTGCGCAGTTTGAGCGCGTCGGTGAACACCGAGTTTCGCCGGGTGCACTCGGCCGACTTGTGGCGCTTGGCGCCGGCCGCCCTGGCCACCTTGGCCCCCGTGTAGTAGTGCATGTCGTGGATCTCCTTGTTGACTTTGGTCTGGTTGAGGTTGATGGCCGATGCCATCAGGTCCTCGTTGGACATCATGATCTGGGAGCCGGTGGCCCGCAAGGCGCCCTGGTATGGAGCGAGCGAGCCCCGTCGGATGCCTTTGCGCGCTGTCGAGGTCAGCATGGACAGGCTGTCCTTTCGGTCGGGCATGAGGCTGGCTCGGCGAGCTCGACGGGTGGACTCTGGGGTATCAACTGGTTTATTCGTCACGCCTCCGGCAAATAACGGAACTGGGGGTTCAATCGTGGAGTTTGGCCATATTTCATAACGTCATTTACTTTTTGTCAGAATGCCTCTTTGATCATTTTTATCCCAAGTCTTTGAGTTAAGCGAACGATGGCATCTTCAAGTTTGCTTTAATTGACCAATTTTTGCAAAGTCAAGTACTCTTGTTGACCACTAGAGCTGTTTGTGGGCCCTACAAGAAATGACAACATCCACAATGTTCTTGGAAGGAGGAAAACGACTTTAAAGACTCACGGTTTTGTTGGCTGAGTTGTACACTTATCCGGCGACCAGCAGGCCCCGTCAAACCAACGTCAGTGGCTTTCAGGTGAGTTCCAGGCCGTAGTCCCACGTGCTTGTGGATGTCAGTGGTGCTCTCACCAAACCTGGGAAAAGATGCAGCAAATGCACTTCAGAACAAACCATGCAGCATTGGCCGAGCAGACCGTGGTATCGTACAACTATCGTGGACAGGTGGTACAAACGCGTTGCCTGCCTTTCCGACCAATATGGTGTCGTGGTTTGCATTGATCTCCATTGTAATGGAGATCGCTGTGGTTTGTCAAAAGCACGTGGTATCAAGGTTATTATTCAGAATACGCGCGTGGATTGTTTGCAGTGACCATACACGCACACCACTCCTAGCTCCCATTGGACAAATACTCGAGTTGCGCATTAACTTCCAGTTCATCACTGTTCATGTAGCACACGCAGTGGGCGTGGTGTAAATTGAAGTGAAACCACTGAACTATGAGTGAAGTTTATATTTACGAACTGGAATGCACTGCAGCAAACACAATTAATGGACAATTATTTGGTCAGAGTGTTTTTATTTGAAGGACTGGAACTTAACTCGGAAGACCTTCGGTGATGTTATTATCTACCACTTTTTTCATCTTACAGGTCGCCTTTTGGGAAAGCGCATTGTCTTCTGTTTATCATGACACGATCTTAAATTTTTGCACAATAGGAAAAAAAATTATGTGTCAATCAAATTCGAGATAATCCTAACATGCGTTTTATTGCATATGACTAACGCGTGTCTGACTGCTACAGCTCGAAGAACGTCCGTGACCGTGTGAGGTCGCTGTTTTTCATTTTCCATGACTCGTTGACTTTCAAAGAATCCATGCTCCGCATTCATATCAAGGGAGGCCCGACGGGGTCGACCGCCAGCCGGCGCGGGACCTGGAAAACAAACCAACCAACCAACAAACGTTCGCGAATCTTATTTTTTTGGTTTAAGTTGAGGACAAATTACAACTTCATGTGAAGTAGCATATAGGATCACCGAAATCCATTTAAAAAAGACCAACTCCCAGCTTGGACATTGTGGGTTATCATTTCAGTTGCTGGCTCTGGAAGACGTTCACGTTTGTCATGCTTCATTTCAGTCGGTTTGACTTATATTAATGAAAATGAATGTCAATATTTGCAATTCTCGAAGCCTTTTGGATGCTGAACGACAAAAGCCAACACTAAAGCGTCTGGCTGGCTATTTTGCAAACACTCACCGACTGACTCAAAGGAAGATTGTGGGGTCTTGTAGTCTGCTGAGGACATGTCGATGGGTTTGTTCAACCAGTCCATACGCTTCAGCTTACTGATACTAGCCCGTGCTTTGGGGTCAGCAGTCAGCATGCTACGAACAAAATCTCTGCAGTCTAACAATAAACATTTTATTTCAGACGGCAATAAAACCGCGGCAAATGATCAGAATCGCTATCATCAACAAGCAAGTGAAATCATTCAATCCGTGAAGTTCATACATCTAACTTCTCACCTTTGGATACTTTCTTGTGGAAGAGCAGTTTTCCCTGAGGATTATGTATGTTATCGATCAAAATGTCCAAGGTTTCATCGTGGTAGGGAAGACGACCGCACAACATCGCGTACAGCACCACCCCTGCCATTGCAATTAGGACAAAAGTGTTGATGTTTGACGTATTGGAGGTCATCCCAATTACAGGAAGCAGTTTCCAAAAGTGTAGGGGGCGATGCCAATTTCTCTAAGTGTTCACAGCACGAGCACACATTACTTAATGGTAAGGTTGTCATTTTGAGAAATGATTTTTTTCCATCTCACCCATGCTCCACACGTCAGCTTTCTTCCCGCCGTATGCTTCACCAGCTAAGACCTCTGGAGCAGTGTAAGCGTACGAGCCGCAGAACTCGCTGAGTTTCTGCCCAGCCTCGCACATTGTAGCGAAGCCAAAGTCTGGTTTTCAATTCAGAATTACGAAGGAAAATAGTCATATCTACCAATAAAGTGATAAGATTTATGTTGATATGTAAAATTACACGTATTTAACCCTCTTCATGAAACGGACGTCGAAAGTGAAACGCCAAAGCTTTACTTGAGAAACGGTGAAGTTTCATGGAAATATGACTGAGGGAAAGGATTCCCCGTGACATTACTTCAAGAAAAAAAGAAGACGGAAAAGATAACCTAAGTCAAGGGGTGTATCGAAAATACACAGTTAAACTGCCGAAACCGTTGCATGAGTATGTGTTTTTGTGTGTTTGAAACCATCTATACTGATCTCACCACCGAGTTTGACGTTGTAATGTTCGTCCAGCATGATGTTATCGCATTTGATATCTCTGTGCACCACATCCAATGCGTGGAGGTAGCTCACAGCATCCAGGAGTTGGTGGAACAGCATCCGGGCTTCTTCCTCACAGAGATGACCTTTGGAGAAGATCCCATTCAATCTTTTGAAATTGGATTAGTGCATCCTATGTAAAGTGTATAGCAATCACAGTGCGCGAGCCATATAAATATATTGCAATGGAACGGTCGCTTTGGAAAACCGAATGACGGAGTCAAGCAGGTGCCTTTTTTTTACAAAACAAGGATTTTCTTCCAAAGTTGGAGAGCTCCACTTTATTGACGATTCTCTCTGGGTAAAGCAAGGTACGTGAAATGTTAAGATCTACTAGATGTTTTTCAGTATTGATCGTTTCATTAAGTGAATGCCACTGAGTCGAAAGATACAGCTCATTTATTGCCAGTAATTGGCATCGGGTAAGAAAGACTGAAGGGAAGATCTGCCCAATATCGACCTCTCCTGTTGATATAGTTGGTCAAGTCTCCATGCGGAATGTATTCCATGAGGATGAAGGTGTAATGCTCCGTTACTAGAACAGCCTCCATGTCAACCTATGGAGAGGGAAACATTCACATATCCATGTTAAGTTATTGCGGGGGTACATGCCTTCACCCCCTTGTCAATCACCATAAGCCCCCGGATAAAGTTGAATTCTGTGAACTAAAAGAGCTCCGAGGTTGCAGATTTACGACAGTCACAGAAAAGTGCCAGATGGAGGGCGCTCTATTCTAAATTCTCGCTGTGCGTCGTCAGCTACGAGGTTGACACTGCAGCTAGTATTCTCAAAATGCGATGTAGAATTAATAAATGATAGCTATACTAATTTTAGTTCAGCTCCAAGGGCTGCAGGATGGATTGTCTCCATGACCTCATCCCATATTGTCATTGTTTCTTACCAGTCGTTCGTGGGCGAGTTGTTGCATTATTGTGATCTCCCTCGGCAAGAATTTGTCAACAGCCTCTTTGGGAGCTCTCAGCTTGGAGATTCTCTTGAAGGCGAAATACCTATTGAGCTTACGAGAGTACACCTTCCTAACCTGCAGTCCACAAACATTGAAGTTTTTCTTAAAGATTGATTCCACACTTCCAACAAACGCACGCCAAAAGCACCTATAGTTAACCGAGCGCTAGTTATCCTTTACGCCGAACAGAAACTGGCTTAATTGGCAAGAAGGGCCTACAGTTACCATCCCATTATCACTAGTCTCTGGTAAGCAAACTTCCACGCGCTTTGTAAATCTTGTCATGAAATCGTCCCGAGGATAGGCCTACTCTTGGCCTGTGGAGGGTGAGCCACAAATGTTTAACTTCGCTTCTTTGTTCAGCCAAAACCAACTGGATTTCAATTACTTCCACTTGTCAAAACTTGACACGACCACTCATTTACTTCTTTGCGGTCGAAGTATCGAACGCTTTAGGGCAAGTCATAAATTGTAACACTACTACTAAAGACGCAATACTTCAAGGAGCTGTATGCTATTCAATACCCTGAAAATATCACGCCTCCAAGAATGTTGGAGAGAAAATTCTCAACAGAAAGAACGACATCTGCCGTACTTGCGAGTAAGGCCCCTCTCCGATGATGCCCTTATCCACCAAATCCAGCTGCAGGGAATCCAGGACTGACTTTCCCTTCTCCGGCATCCATACACCCTCCCCCTTCCTCTTCAGATGAAGAGCTTCGTCTGTGTAGAAGATTCTTTCGTTCCCCATCCCTGGCAGTTGTTGCTGATTAACCTGGTTAGCCTTTTTTTTTCTGGTTATTTCAGTGAAGTTGAATTAGTTGACTCAAAGATCCCCGGCCCCCAGGTGACCTTGCTCCCCCGAATGTGATACACCCACAAAGCATCTAACAACGTCTAGTTGAGTTTTACTGCGTCGCTCCTGCAACTGTTTTGTTTCCATGGGTTTCTGCATGCTGTATTACGCGCAACTTTGTGATGCGCGCGTTAACATGTTTGCGTAAGCTTCATCGATTAGTCTTCGCCCAAGACGTCAGTGATTGAGCGCACCAGGAGACTTGAAGAGAACAGGAATATTGTATACATCATACAAAGTACCGGTACGTAATTATTTTTATGACCACAATGATCACTCCTCAATCTGTTCAACATTCTTGATCTATTAAATTTACAATCTGGATTGTTTGCAAAATTTTTTAAAATATAAAACAACAAAATAAACATACACTATTCTATATGAAAACATTCTTTACGAATGCTAAAATCAAATGGCCACTTGTTAAAACAAAATCTGTATAATATCCCCTATATCAGCACCAAGACAACTCTGAAAAACTATAAGAAAAAGAAAAAATATCCTCTCTGTGTCGGCACAAGGGCAACTTGGCTATGACAGGAAATTACACACGACTCCGTGGGAACTGGCTGAGGCCACTACCATAGACTCGTGCGTAATTGCAGGGACAGCCAGGTAAATTGACCACGGCCGATCCCGCGAGTTATTTCTTATATTGAAATCAATCTAGACCGCACTCAAGTGTGTTATTGGGATCCACGCGAGTCTACCCGAGCACGTGAACGGGAATGCACATACAAACTATGCCCTGGTGACATCCTCTTCGCACCTAAATGAGCCATTCTTTGTGTGATGTGCTTCATAATAAAATCATGTCCCCTTTACGTGGGGTGGCGCATTTTGTTCCTTTCAGACCACACATTATAAGGAAAAGGCTGACATGTACACATTGTCTTCTTCATTTTGAAAAAAAAAGACAAAACAAAAAACAAACCTGCAGATCAAAATCAGAAAAGGAATAAAATTATGTCATGAAATCACACAGTAAAGTCATGAAAAACTGCACGCACTGAACTTCAAATACGCAATAAAAACATAAACAGTATAGAACTTTGACAAATACAAAATAGTTCTAAATAGTTCTAGATAATTCTAAATTCTCCTTCAATACCCTGTTCAAATGACAATCTGCAGAAGACAGGCCTTCAGTTTGTAGCCACGTTGTAATGATGACCAGTACACACAGCCACACAACAAAGTTTTAACTTGCTGACTTTTCAAAACTCTTCTTGGCAGGTGGATAATTAATTTCTTGTTTTGAGCAACACAGTGACATACCGTGTGGAATCAAATTAATATAAATTGAGTGTTTGTTGAAGCAGTGAAGCACAAAATCTACCGAGCTAATTCGGCTGGCCCAGCCAATGTTTATCTCTGGTTTCCTTGGCATGATACAACCAGAAAAAAAATCTTACCCCCCTACAAAGGAGGCCAGTCCTTGACTGAAACACAGTGATTATTACAAGTGATCATTGTAACCTGAAAAGATAATGTTAACATTAATTTTTTCATGACCATGTGTTATTCAGAAATCCACGGCTTAAAACTTTTAAGAAAAGGCTTTTAATTGTGCAAAAGTGTGGCAAATTTTCAGGGCTGTAATAAAAAACTCTACGAAACTCATGATGAGCCGGAAAACACGTCAAAATATCTTGTTAAACATCAAACTCTACCTTCCAATTCATATAAGTGTATAATGTATATAAATTCATAATGTATATAACTTCCTTTATTTTTTGCACAAACAAATTAATCTGGATATCTGCATATTTGATTAATTATATTCAAATCATTTCAATCAAGCCCACATTAGCCAAGAAGACATTGTAGAAAGCGTATGTTTTCCACTGAAATTTGTCAACTTTCAAGGCAGTTTTCTGGAATTCTGGTTTGTAATCAGGTAAAACCCACGACACCGTCTTACACTACACAAAGAAAGTACAATACAAAATGGCAAATTTCAAAAGGCACTCTACATCATAGCACACGTCAAGCAAAGGATTTTGGCATCAATTTACAGACCAGCCAACTTCTACAGATGGCCAGGTGATAAAAACAAATGGCTTCCAGCCGTAGTGGCCAGGCTACTGGATGAAGGGGAGACGATAATGAAAGCAGGCACAGACAAATTCTGGGAGATGCCGTTCCTGCTGGGCCATCGCACTCACCAACATCTTACGTTTGGCAAGTCTCAACATCCTATTGGTCAAAGAGGAGTAAAAAGCGTGCATACCATGCACATACCATGCATGTACCATGTGTATGCGATCTGGATGGCCCCACAGATATTGCCTCTAATGTCTCTCAGGGGAAGTTAGTCTCGGACACCAGGCACACTGAAATATACAGAAAAAGACAGTTTTACTGTGTCCTATTTGTAACATAAGCCAAAGTCATATATGTGACCTCAAGGAATACGTGGCCACTTGCGGACAGGTGTCAAAATGGAAAATAGCCTACAATGAATATGCAACCATGGTGAATATTTGCTACCGATAGACAGGAATCATGGAGGACACATCCCAACTGAACACATGGGCAAAATGGAATGGTGAGATGCACAGTAAACGAGCAGTAAACTGTAAATGTGTAGCCATAATTCGTCGTAAGTAGCCACAGGTGGCCAGCCTGGCCCGGGGTGGCTCATCCTTCTGGCCGATTGTAACATGCTTCATGAAGCAGTCTCTGCATCATCAGGGGGCCACCTTAGCCCTCTTGAGAAGCTGCCCTCGCTTCTTGGCAAACTCCTGAGCCACCCGGTCCGTCGTGCGCTGTTTCAAGGTGCTCAGAAGAAAAGGGGCATTGTCTACTGGGTGAAAGAAGGAAAGGAAACGGTGAGTGTTTGATGCACTAACCACCTGCACTGCCTGGTTCAAACACTACGATTAAAATGTCATCAGAGATAAAACCCAAGAACACTATTCAATAAAGATAGTCCATTCTCTACTTGTGGGGGGGGGGAACTCACTGTTGTCCTCCGGTCGCATGAGGGGCAAAGGGACAGAGTTGAGAGCGGCATAGCTGCTGTCGAAACCCTTCCTGATGCCGGGGATGTCATCCAAGGCCAGGAAGGTCTCCCCCTCAAAGTCGTCTGCCGTGATGACGTCATAGTCGTACATGATGAAGTGCAGGCAGGCCCCACGGTGTGTGCACTGGTCTTTGGTGACAGGGCTGAGGGGTAAGGCAGAGGAATTATCTGCTAAGGTGTAACGGTTGCTGGTGAATACTAGTCTCCAAACCAGGTTGTCTTAAGGGAACATGCAGTGGACTCTTAGCTCAACTTGTTTTCATGCGTACCACTACATGATGCAATAGTAAAAACAAGATCTAAATACTTTACGACAAGTGGCAAGAAGGTGGTATTTTTTTCACTCTCAGAAAATCCCTTTTCGTCATTTCATTTTGAAGGGCACTATTTTGCTTCTTTCCACCTTGTCAAAAAAGCATAACAAAATTCATCCTTCAAAATTACCCCACCAAAGGTTTGAAGAAAAACTGGCCATAACTACTGTCCAAACAAGCTGCTTAATATAACAGGCAAGTAAAAATTGAAACCGAGTTCAGGAAAATAAAGAAAAGTGTGTGCGAAATATATTTCTACACAGTGCTCCAGAGACACCACACTGCTCTGCCTTGGATGATATCAGACTGTGGCTCTTGAATATGGAAATTTTTATGAGCACAAAAATCAAAATATTAAAGTTTCTCCCTTTGACTGCTTCAAAGGAGAAGGGGAGTCCCAGCAACATTCTAAAGAAGTTTTCCCACATGTATCAAGGTCAGAAAAATTGTATTGCAAGTCTCCTTGACGAAGACCAAATTGTAAATCAAGGTTGACAAGATTTTGTGGATTAGAGGTACAGTTTTCCATGTTTCTACAGCCCGTCCACACTTCTTTTATGATGACAGAATATAATTCTTACAAAAGTTTCACAGTTTTGTAGATGTATCAGTACAGTAAATCTTTTTTCACAGAAAAAGAAGAGAATTTGTGAGGGTCACTCTGACCAACGAGTCACAAACTCAAAGACTCGGTTTTGACAGCGGATGAGGACTTTAACAATGTATGTCACTGTTTCATAACAATTACTAACAGGCTCAACGCCCTCAAAATAGAGAGAGGTCTGCCAATATGCCAACTTACAATTCGAAGGCTTCATCAAAAAGTGGATGGACAGTTTCCTTGATGACTTTGCTCTTCTGTGGAACGCTTTTGGGGAACACAAAGGAAGGCTGCAACTCCAGGACGACGTAAGGGTCACTGGTGCCTTGACGAAGAAAAATGATTATAATAAAACCGAGAAAAAAAAAAGGATTTTAGTACTTGTGCTAATAAATCACCTGCAACTCTGCATGCTACTGCACTAGAACACTTTTAAAATCGATTCATAAAATACCTAGTACAATTAAGCCCTTCCTACAGGTCCAGACTTCATCAAGTAGCTGGTCATAAATAGATGATAAAGTACAGGCTGGCTGTGTACCATCTAACGCAGTACATGCCACATATACCAATCTCCATATTACGAGATTGCTTACAACTACTCGCAAGAGGAACATACCATACCATGACAAGAGGGGGGTTTGAAAAAAAAAGAAAAGAAGTAAGACTGTTGAATAAAATCACCGGAAATGTAGGAATTTTACACTTGATTTGACAAGGTATTTGCGAATGGGAAAAATATGTGCTTGGCAAGTCATGAAGCCTTTTTCCACTACACTAATCTCAGGGCTGATGTCAGTTTGACGTTGGATTGAAAACTGGCGGCGATTCACACTTGAAAATTTTTGATTCTACGCCAAATTTGCACCAACCCCAAGATTGACTTCAACCTGGATTGAACTCAACCCTGCTCTGGACCAGGATTGACATTTTTTAAAACCTGTCCAGGTTTTTTAAAAACTTGCCCAGATATATGCCCAGATAAACTTGGTTTTCATAAAACCAGGTGAAAAATTGTCAGGTTGAATGCAGGGTTGAAATATAACCCAGGGTGGTCATGGGTTTGCCTAGGGTCAAGTTCAACCCGGGTTGAGACACTGTAGTGTGAAAAGCCCTTTAACTACTTTGTGCTGAGGTTCCTGGTACCAGAGACCTTAGGATTATACGCGTAGCTGGGGGTGCCCGAAATCGGACAAAACAGGTGGAACTTGTAACAACAGACTTTACTTGGAACAAAAGGATGAGCTGCTGGGAATTGCCAACATTTGGAAGGTTGTCAATAGTGGAAGTAATTCGTCCTTGAAAGAGTATTCGTCATGGTTGAAAAAGTATTTGTCATTGAAACAGTATTCCTCATTGAAACAGTATACCACTAACTGTGGCATTCAGTGTGAGCGGATTACAACCGCGGACAAAAGCACTCCAGTGATGAGCGATACAATACCGTTGCATGCTAATCTGGCCGCATTTGACAAGACACCAGCAGTGCACTGGGCCAATTTCAGGAACAAAGGAAATTATGCAATACCGCACAATCTGGGCTCTCTTTACAAGGCAGCAGGCCTGGCTAAAATACTCTGGCATAAATGGAGGTTGCCTGTCAGATTAGAGTAGCCACCAGACAGTCACTCGTGTGGGTGTAACTGTCCAGCAAATGAAGTTTTGAATTTCTGACGAATTTTGAAAACAGAAAATCTTGCAAATTCCTTGGGAGCTCATCATTCAAATTACACCCGGCAGCATATGTGTAAACATTCGTTGAAAACCCACTCAGGAGAATAAACACCGATAATGTAACTCGCCTTTATCTCAGGTATTATCAGTGTTCATTCTCCTGATTCAGACTTAACCGACCAAGCGCATAGTTATGCCTTTATTCACGGTCATCACTGCCTATCCCCTTATCTTTCTAATAGTAGGAACTCTTCTGCATTTCCCACGAGCCAATGCACGGCAGTAAACCAAACTTTTCATTGTATGCCGTGTTCACAGGAGCCATCCAACTCGCCTTTTGCAGGCCCAGGAGCCAATTCTAGGGCTGAGCACATGCCAGCGACCTGTTTTCCCACCTGATTTGTCCTTGGGCTGGATGTTCCTGGCATTCACCAGCATGACGCACAAATACTTGGTGATGTCGTTGTAGTAGCATTTGACAGTCAACATTCCCAGTTCACTCTCCTTGCCACTCTGAGTGCTCTCTTCCTGAAAAAATGACAGTGGTAAGGTAAAATTTAGGAATGTCATTTTCACTCGTACACGTATATGCACGGTTCAAAAGACATCCATTTTAGACTACCCTAAGGACAGACTTACCACAGGGGTCATACGTCTCTTAAGTGATTAAAAAGACCATTTTCCAGCATCAATGAACTGTTGATACATTCTGTCAGTGTCATATAACATGTGACCGGCTCTGCAAAATGGTGTATTATGTCACATTTTTTTGAATTTGAGTTATATATATAATCAAACTGCTCACATCCTAACCTTTCATTTGATATATAATTCATCCCAATGGCATTTTCCATTTAAAGTTAATTGCCATTTGCATATTCATATAATTTCATTTTATCACACATGCTTTTTGAGATAATGCCCTTTAAACATGACGAACAGAAACATTAAACTTAAATTAGACACTCTCTTGGTTTTCCTTGGGCAACAGAGGCTTTCTGATCAAGCAATCGGCCTCAAAATATTTCCAAATATTTTGCTCTCAGAACATGGAATGGGCCATTAGACGTTTTTGCACTGCGTGACTTAATACACCTTTTTGCAGAGCGGGGCACATTATACTCTTTCAAACAACCTTCAGGTTTCTGATGCGCATCAACAAAGCCTATGCTGCCCCGAACAGTTTTTGAGCAACACAACTCAACGCACTACTGCCACTGACATGGGAAAAGTTCTTGGCACCAAAAGCGACATGTGGGAAGACAAGCACTTCAACACTCCAATAGTGGAAAAAACAAAGATGAGAAAAACAGAGAGCCAGCACCCACTGCTGGATCGGCATGAGAACGACAACCACGCAGGGCACTAGTGGTGACCACTGTGCCTGTTGATAGCCACTTAACGGTTATTTCACATAAAGATGCGCTGCACTGTCCAGTTTACAACATACAATGTATGGCGGCTTTCAAATGCTTGCCTGCTGCAGTGGTGGCTGATCTAGGGGAAACTGTGTTCCTGTGATACTTCAATGTCTTTTGATTCCGCCCTATTGAAATGCTGGAAAGAGTAACTCACAACTGCTTGGAGTTTCTCCGCATGGAATGCCTCTATCAGCTCGTATGTGTCGGCCATGTTGCTCTCTGCGAAGCTCTTCATCTCTATGTACTTCCTGTTGTGTAGTGTGGCCAGCGGTAAACCCTTTTCATCAGCATAGAAGAAGTCACTCAAGATCTGAACGGAGCAAACCAAAAGTGAAAGCCAAACTTTTGGTTTATTTCGTAAGGTAGCAATTGCACTCAGGCATTTGTAACTTGGGGCCGAGCAGCCCAGAGAACAAACCCTGTTTGGCATGAACAGGTGAACTAACAAAATGGCACATGGGGGTATTTCTCATTCGCTCAATGCCTGAAACTGCTCAACAACATATGCTGCATCTGTAAGCAACTCCCTTACGCCAATACCTGCTTCAAATATCAGTCCATTACAAGTTATCCCACTTCTGACACCAAGTGTCAACAGTATTCACTCAATCACAGGTCCAGAGTACTCTGACATATTGATCCTTGCTTGAAGTGAAGGGCCTACATGTACCTGAAATCCAATATCTGTGGAAAAGAATGAACCACAGATTTCTTTTTGTTCTTTACTTACTTCAAGAGTTTCATTTATTCTACAGAACAGCAGTGGCTTCCCTTGCAGAACCTAGAGGAAAGGACATATTCACTGATCAATGATGGTAAACTTTAGGGCAAGAGAAAAATCTACCCAATATCAACCTGTATCATGTACTTAATCATCCACACTCTGTTTACATGTACTAGTTCACCCGCACACACAAAACGCATTCATGTCAAGTACATCTAGACATTCTGAACACATGTAAATATTCACTTATGTCTAGAGATGGACAATTTTTCCAATTAAAAGTCCACAGAATTTCTCTCCTCTCCTGGGATGCATTCATTGATGAAAATTTCCGAAGGCCTAACCTTGTTCTTGGAACTGATGATTTTACCCAACTCATCCACTAAGACAATCCAAATGTCTTGAAGAATTCTGAAAATGATAAGTGAGAGATACATCTTTCAATGTTTCATTTTCCTAGCCAAACCTTCAACTTGAAAATATTTGTAAGCTGACAGACATATAAAGTATTACAGTTTCAAAAAGTTTTGTAAGAAAAAATGCTTCTGGCAGCTTGATTTTTAGTCAGGAAATGAAGACCGGCATCATATATAGCAACCGACATTTGTGTGGCCATGCTAAAACTAGGAAATTCGGGAAAGGGGTCAATTTGATTCACCTGTCAAAGTTGGACTTAAGGAGGCAGTTGTGCAAGGTGATCATGTTGGTGTCGAGGTACTCCATCAAGGGGTCTATAGCCTGTGGGGGGGGGAAGGGGGAGAGTTACAACCAGTTAAGGATGGATGCATTAAGGATGAAAACTGAACAATTTAGGATAGATCAAAGAACAAATGCTTGAAGGAAGATTTAAAGTACACAATGTTCATATTTCATAAGGAAAATGCAACCTTTTGGTTTTTCTGCCTTTTGATATTACTAAATATATTTTCCTACATGGGGAAAGTTGCCAGTTTTACATGTTAATGAGTTTTGGTTTAACAAAGAAGGTTCATTGACAAGACCAATGTTGGTCACTTGTGACCAGTGAAGTTCTTTCTTAACCCTAACCTTCCTCAATCCTTCACCTGTTGGAGGATTGAGGAGGTTTAGGGTTAATGGAGCTTTGGTATGTCATATTCTTGTGCACAAGTCTGAGCCTTACTTCGGTCAATAAAAATTCCTTTTTAAAATTTATTTTTGACAATTGCCAACGTTGTCACAAAAGTGACAAAGGCTGTTGAGTGCACTTACATCATCGATGGAGGAGTGGATATGTGCGTCGAGCAGCGCCCTCAGGAACCGCCGGAAGTCAGGCCGCATCCTCTCACCGACCCGTTGCACCACATGTTCAATCACGTTGACCATGTCCTCATCTGCGCTGGTCATCATGGTATGCAGGGTGTCCTGGCACTGGCGGCCGGCCATCTCGCCGTACTCTGTCTCCATGGAGACCTGGATGCGTTGCCAGCCCAGTGACTTCGGCATGATGGCCAGTGAGCGCCGCACTTGCTCGATGTTGTTGATGGCGATGCACAGCTGCAGGGGCAAAAAGTGAATGAAAGACGGGTTTGTGTGCAAGTTGAAGGGTTTCCTCAAAACTTCTCTAACATGCGCGAGTGGCAACAGATCATGCCATCAAGAGATCAGCACAAATCAGATCTGTAAATAGAGAGCGTAGNTACCAACTTTGGACTCAAAATGGCTGTTCACTATTTGTGCTGTGCAGCATGCAGCTATTGTGTGCTAATTGTTCATTTGCACTGGCACATAATCCACCATCTTGGTTCCAACAATGGACCTTTCCCATGAAATATGCAAATAAGACAGGCACATGCATGCTACTACCACTGGTTGGCAAGAGCGGCCGTCAACATTGTCAGCAGCGTAGGAGAGCTGCTGTAACCATAACCTGGCGCGTTGAAGGTCAATCTAAACCTTGTTACAGCCTTTGCTCGATACTTGCGCGTGCTTTCCTCAAAATTAAGTGAAGTTTTGTGTGTCCTCAGGTAGGAAAGTAACAATTCCTTTTCTCTAAGTTTAGCACTCATGTTAAACTATACCAGTACAGAAAAGACGATAGTGACGTGGGCATGGATATTTGTTTTGTTACATCATAGATTTAAGCAACTTTGCCAACCAGTGGTAGTAATGCGCATGCGCCTGCCTTATTTGCATATTTCAGGGGAAAGGTCCATTGAGACGCTCAGGTAGCAACCCTCTCTATAAACAGCTCTGGCACAAAGAAACCAATTTTCTTTCAGTTTACAGAGGGAAAAAGTTGACATCCACCAAAAAAAATTATTTATGCACATTATTATGCACATGACTGACACAGTTTTCACATTTTCTTTGTGCATGCAATTGAACTGGGAATTTTGGTGTGAATAAGGAATCAATTTACCAGGTTTTGAGTTGGTATAGAATGACAATAGCATTATCAGCAAGCTAACACGGGCCGGACGTGGGCCATGATGCGAACAGGAGGTGTATTGGTACAGAACGACAATAGCATTATCTGCAAGCTAACATGGGCCAGACGTGGGCCATGATGCGGACATGAGGTCTATTGGTACAGAATGACGATAGCATTTCAAATTAGCTGATCAGATTTTCGTCCATTAATTATTGTTTTGTCTTGTCTTTTGTCTTGTTTGTTCGTCATCTGTCTTGTTTCTGTCCTGTCTGCCATGTCTGTCTTGTTTCTGCCCTGTCTGCCATGCCTATCTTGTTTTGTCTTGTCTGCCATGTCTGTCTTCTTTTTGTTCAGTCTGTCATGTCTGTCCAAAGGCTGTTCCCCATAAGGCCNCACCAACTTTGGACTTTGGACTCAACATGGCTGTTCACTATTTGTGCTGTGCAGTATGCAGCTATAGTGTGCTAATTGTTCATTTGCACTGGCACATAATCCAACATCTTGGTTCCAACAATGGACGTTTCCCATGAAATATGCAAATAAGACAGGCACATGCGTGCTACTACCACTGGTTAGCAAGTGCGGCCGTCAACATTGTCGGCAGCGTAGGAGAGCTGCTCTAACCATAACCTGGCGTGTTGAAGGTCAATCAAAACCTTGTTACAGCCTTTGCCCCATACTTGCGCACGCTTTCCTCAAAATTAAGTGAAGTTTTGTGTGTCCTCAGGTAGGGGAGTAACAATTCCTTGTCTCTAAGTCTAGCACTCTTGTTAAACTATACCAGTACAGAAATGACGATAGTGACGTGCACATGGATATTTGTTTTGTTACGTCATAGATTTAAGCAACTTTGCCAACCAGTGGTAGTAATGCGCATGCGCCTGCCTTATTTGCATATTTCATGGGAAAGGTCCATTTAGACACTCAGGTAGCAACCCTCTCTATAAACAGCTCTGGCACAAAGAAACCAATTTTCTTCCAGTTTTCAGAGGGAAAAAGTTGACATCCACCAAAAAAAACCGTCCATTATGCACATGACTGACACAGTTTTCACATTTTCTTTGTGCATGCAATTGAACTGGGAATTTTGGTGTGAATAAGGAATCAATTTACAAGCTTTTGTGTTGGTACAGAATGACGATAGCATTATCTGCAAGCTAAAACGGGCCAGACGTGGGCCATGATGCGGACATGAGGTCCATTTACAGCTGTAGGCTGTGCTGAAAACTGTCTGAACTCTGTACATTCAGATTCTGTGCATGAAACGTCCCAAAGTCCCGGAAAAATGAGAATATAAAAGATACATAATGCTCTCCTTCTGACTGCTGACGAATGCTCACCGTACCTGGTCTGTGATGTCGAATTGACCCTCATCGTCATAGTAACCCTTCTGTCTCAGCTTGTCATGAATGATGTTGGCGTAGCTGACAGCACCATGACAAATATCCTACACAAAAACATGCAGGACAGAGTGACACAGACATTGAAAAAAATGTTAATAGGAAATGAAATCTAGACAAACAAATGCACAGCTTGCTTAATGCGTTTTTTCTTCCCGGCAGCAGATGGCATTATTAACAATTATAAAGTCTTACATCAGTAACTTTGGCCACAAAGACGTAGCTCCCAACCGTGTCTGGCCAATCCAGTTTCTGCCAAAACTCACGAATCTAAGAAAAATCACAGGAAAAATTGTATAAAGACCAGTGCTATCAACTTCAATGAAGCATAACAAAAGGTGTCTCATGTGATGTGGACATTCCTGTTTTTTTATGTTGTTTACAAAACCCAGTGAAAATACTCATTTTTCTTGCACTGTGAACACTCTTTGAAACCCCTTTTGTTACTGACGACCCTAAACCAAAAAAGGCCTCTAAAACTATTTTCCAGACAAGGGGAAACTGTGTGTGGACCTGGCTTAGTCCTCATAAGGTTCGCAAAAGTGGACCTCTTTTCTTTACGAGTAATTCACACTAGGAATGTAACATTGGCAAGTTGCCAAGTGATAATTACAATGTATTGCCTTTTTTTCCACTGAGCACCATCCACACAAACAATACCAACAGACAAATTACCTGGGCAAAGCATGTGGCCACATCTACTGCCGATGTGCTGTGCTTCACCATGGTATCGACCAATGCAACCTAGGACGAACAATGACGAACATAAACAAACAAAAAATGACAAATGATAATGCCCATAAATTAAAGCATGGTCCAGCAGATCCCCATCTATAATTAAAATGTTGTCAGACCCTTGGTTGGCTTGGTTGGGCTGGTTGGGTTCAGTTGAATCCTGTTACATTGAGTCTGGTTGACAAGCTTAATTCCTACAGTCATTTGCAAAAGTTTAAGACCATCTGGAATGTTATTGGTATTTCTGTCACTGGGCCTGCATCTTAATGTCTCACTGAATGATTACTTCACATGTTTTGACAGTGGTGCATAACATCAATGCTGTGCTAAATACCCATTGGAATGAAATTTTTTGCGAAGACAGGTCTTGTATGACATTTTGTATGTAAGGCAGCATGGGTAAAAAAGCAAGTCTAAGTAATGAGAAATAAAGGAGGGCACATTAAATATTAGACTGTTAACTACTTCGCGACGGGCCCATTTATCCATGTTGATTCTGCTGGGCCCGGTGATTTTGTATTTTTTTTTCTGTTTCGAAATTCTTTAAAAATTCATAAGTTCATTTACTGGACGTTTTTACCCACACAAATGACTGTCTGGTGGCTACTCTAATCTGACACACAACATCTATTGATGCCCGAGTATTTCAGCCAGGCCTGCCGCCTTGTAAAAGGAGACCAGATTGTGCGGTGTTATGTAATTTTTTTTTTATGCTGAAACTTTCACTGCTGGCGTCTTTTCAATATGGGCCACATTAGCGTGCTGCTGTATTGTATCTCTCATCACTGAAGCGAGGAGCGCTTTTGTCCCCAGAGGTAATCTGCTAGTGCTGAATGCCACAAACAGTGGTATAATCTTTCAAAACAATGACAGATTTCCTCTGCTTTTGACAACTAAATAATGTTGGCAATTCCTTGCAGCTCGGTCTTTTGTTGCAATCATAGTCTTATGTTACAAGGCCAAGCTCTTTTGTCCGATTTCGGGCAGCCCGGCATTGCGTATAAAGAAAACGAACCCGAAACCGCGCTCCCCAGCACTAAGTGGTTAACATTTCATTGAAATGTAGTCAAATAACTGTTTAATCAAGATACTCAGATTACATATTGAAAATAGACATAGGTTGCCATGATTGATTGGTTTACGTTTGGTTTTTCTTCAGGTTAATGCATTTTGTATGGGTGGTCCTAAACTTACGCAAATAACTGTATTACACCAGCTTATATTTCAGCATACTTTTCATGCTAAGAAACACCAGATTACAGTGCTTCCAAGACAAGAGTTAAATTACTCACCTGGTCTAGTTCCACAGCTTTTTGGATCCTCTCCTGGGCTCTCTTCCGGGCGACATTCAGCCACTTCTCCACGGCTTTCTTGAAGAACTTGTGGTACTCTTTGATCTCGAGGTCTGCCTGGTCCCTGCACGACACAAATAATGGGACACATCTTCAACCTATTCTTCCCTAACTTAGCACTGCCTGTGACTGCAGAAAGGTTACATTTTTCATTTTTCCTCCCTTTTTTGGGAAGGAGGGGCGGGTGGGAATGGATCAGTGCCCTAACTGGGATCCAATTTGCAGGGGGCAGCACAACACGGGCGGTGGCTTAATCGTTTTGGTCGTTCATAGTAAACACTACAAAGCCCCTTTTCTTCTGTCCGTTTTTTTGGAAACAAGTGGGATTTAAGTGGTAGGTCCGCCCAATCAAATACTCCACTGGTTACGTCGATAGAAAAGGGTTAACGTGAAGAGACAGTGATCCCGTTTAAAGAACTTTACAACATGCACAGAGTGGATGGAGCTTTACAGCATTGAGTGGTTTACTTGGCTAGAGCTTGATAACACACGTACCTATTGAAGCCCCTAGATAATGGCTTTATCTACTTCCCATAGGCCCATGCATCATTTCTAGCCACAGCCAAATCATTCCGACACGGCCCACCCCACCGCCACTCGAATGCTACTCACCCCTCGCTGAGGTGCTCTGCAAAGCCCACGAAGTCCCTGAGGGCCAGGTAGAGCTCAAAGAGGGCAGTGCTCCGCTCGCTGTACTCCTCCCCCTCTACGTCGTCCAAGCCGTGGCCGGAGACACAGCTGGTCAGGCACTGAGACACGTCGGCCATCAGCTGCCAGGACAGACAATCAATGCATTTGAGCAATAGGACAGCATGGTTGTGCAACTTGGCAATACGGAAACAGCTTAAATCTTAATGTAAATTATGCCCACCTTTCTGAAAATTACAAAAAAAGAATGCAATAACATGACACAGCAAACAGAGTTTAACCAGGAAAGTCTGCCAGGGAGTGATATTAACTTTAATATATAAACAGTGTACAGTAAGAAAAATTGATGCAAATGCCCTTTGGTGGCGATATTAAACCTGGTCTGCATAAGACATTATGTAATGTTAAACACCACAATAAGAGTACAAGCTTTGATGTCATGGTATATAAAACTGTCTCAATTTTATCGTTTTCTTACATGAAATTATGAAATTACCACAATTAGACAGTCATAGAATCACTAAACCAAATGAAAAACTGGTACCAAAGAGCTTATTCAAATGTCAAAATTGCCATCAATTCAGCTTACTTTCTGGGCAATCTCCTGGTAGACAATGGTAAAGTAAGGGATCTCAAAGACAGTCTGGTAGGTGCTGTGGACAAACTGCAGGAGTCGTTGGGCTTGACCGTTGATAGCATTGGTCAGGCCGGCCAGCGAGGCCACCTTCTCCGTCTCCGGCTTGGATTCTACCATCTCCAAATGCTTCTTGCAATACCAATTCCTGATATCGTCCTGACACAGGAAAAGGGCAGTGAAACCAAGTTTCCATGAGAGGGCCAATAATGCACTGCCAAACAGAATCCTGCCTGTTAAAAAAACAACGGCTAGTGGCTCTCCACATCTTTGGGTCAGGAATATGAATTCGTGGCCAAGTTTAGAAGTGGTCTACTATTTTTTTTTCTGTCCGAGTAAATGTTTTGAAGGATAGGGTCTCTCTTAACCAGCACATGTGTGCCATCAGCAACAGGTTCATGTACGTAGTCAAGTGCATAAAACAAAAGGTGTTTGAGTTACCATTTGTGTTTACATCATTCTTTAACCCCTTCGCGCCGGGATGCGGCAAGACACGCTGTAAAAATTGAGATCTTCGGCTATTATTCTTGGCCCATGTTCGAGCGAACACGGTGAAAGAAGGCAGA